ATCTCTTTCTCCCTCTCAGCTCTTCTCCCTCTTAGCTCTCTCTCTCTCTCTCTACAACATCTCTCTTTCTCCCTCTCAGCTCTCTCTCTCTCTCTACATCATATCTCTTTCTCCCTCTCAGCGCTCTCTCTCTCTCTCTCTCTCTCTCTTGAGTTTCGTACTCGGCGATCACGGCGACACTTGCTGCCGCAGCCTACTGCCATTGTAGTTGAATTTACTTTGGTGTTACACGTTGTTCAAGGTTCGTTTCTCGTTAATTTTGCGTTGATGTTAGCCGTGTTGCGCTCTCGTCGTTTCCTTTCCATTGAGTGGACTCGTACCAACAGCCTTAATAGTGAACATATAAACAATAACGCGCGAGCAGCAAGGGAGATAAAGAAAGAAAAAGTTGCAGACATGATCTACCGCTAGGCTTTTATCGAAAACGCAGAGCGTTTATAAATAGAAGCAGGCAAACAATATCGTCGTAGCGTATAGCGGACCATTGTTTGTGGAACGAAGGCTGATTTAAAAAAATCATTCTCATCGAGCTAGTATACTTCATGCTATTATCTTGGTTTTTTTTAATTTGTTACTTTTCAAAACCTTGCAAGTTTTTTTCTTACAGTCATGAAAAATTCTCGAAACATTCGGCTCGTCCAGATATAGAGAAGCAGGGAGTAAATTAGAATTTTGAATTTTTCAATTGATTCAATTGATTTTCATTTTTACGAATTTGTGCCTACCGATTAGCTCGTTTACAACGTTTCGAGTATATCAATGTAAGCCAGTGTAAAAACACTAAATTATGTAAAAAAATTATTAAGCTAATGAAGAACGCAGTCATATATTAAAGAAAAAGTTATATATATATATATATAATTCTCTTCCATATAGAAGAAGAAAAAGAAATAGTTAATTAATAAGAACGCGACGATAAAAGAATTGACATTTTGAGTAGCAAAAAGGCTATTGGAATGATCTCATTGAATCCAAATATTGTTTTCTTAGCAGCAAGCTGCTCCTCGCAACAGCAACCCCAGTCATTAAACAAAGCAGGTCAGGTTAATATTGGTATTAACAAGACAAAATCTAGCGAAATATTATTGTCACGTCAGGATTATCGCCTTAGCAGATGACGAGTGGCCAAGCCGCCGGGGAGCTGAGCTGACGCCGGGGCGTTGTTGAAGTTGCGTTAATTTTTTTGTCGGAACCACAAAAGAGTCTGACAGAGCTTGACGTATAGAGTTAGTTCGTCTTTGCTATAATACGCTTAGGCCATGACGGAATTCAACGAAGAAACTAGGAGAAGAAGAGAAGTTACCGAATCCACCGTATCTAACTTCCTCGAGTTTTAAATATACAAATGAAGATATACTTTTTATAATATACTCATACTGGATGCCTTTAAGTGCTAATCTATTTTTATTGATTGTGTATTTGATACAGAGTTAGTAAACTAGAGGAAGTTGCGTCTTATTAATATTGATTGTCATGTTTATTCGGTTGAATGGTCGTCATTTATCTTGAAATCTAAAACTATAAATCTAGTCTGTCGTTTAATCCTATTCTTATATATACATAAATGTACAAGCGAAATATGACAACTATTAGTTTTATTTTGTCACTTTTATTATCTCATACACCTAAGATATATCGATTATTATAATGTCGTATTTTATATTAAATTAAACTTAAAACAATACTACAGAGAAAACCGTACAATTTGAAAAACTGTCGGATCAGCCTAATAAGATGCGCATACTCATTTCACTGCCTTAGAGAAAAGGGATAGACAATGGGCACGAAGGACATACATATAATGAACCAATTAAATGAATTTAGAAAAAGTACAAAGTTAATACGATTACACCTTAAGTTGCTTTAGACACAGTGTACTTTTACTTTAAATTGGAGATCTGTGAAATATGGAAAGCATTTAATTTTATAGGAAATTTAATTTGTAGTAAAATTTATCCAGCTAAATCGACATTTTAGTTTATATAAGTATCAAGCTGACAGCTATGTTTATAAATCGTCTACTCCGTTGAAGTCTTGCATTTTTGCATTGGATACTGCGAAATCATCAATAAGGAAGATTACAAAATCAATACTATAAGACTTTGTTTTAATTTTGTTTAAAAACATTGAACAAATAACATAAATTATATTGACAAATTTTTAAATTATCACTTTATATATATATATAAAGTAACCAAATACACTAACAAAACAGAGTTCCTCGACAATTAATGAAAGACTGAAAAGCAGAAAAAAGAAAAAGGTATCTTCCATGGCAGTTAATTGAATAAATTAAAAATTCGATCTAATTTCAAGAAGTTGATTGATACCATTTGCAACAAAATTAACATTAAACCATTTTCATTCTATATTCACCTGATGTTTTTATGTTTATGATAGCCGTGTTCTTGTTTTTTTATTTTTATTATTATTATTATTATTATTAATTCATTGACTATATTTATATAAAAAAAAAAAAAAAAAAAAAAAAAAATTAGGCTAAGATAAGTAGAGTATGGAATATATAAATAAGAGTTGAAAAACTTAAAGACTATAGTTTCGCATTAAAAATTTAAAGATAAGAAATAGATGTTTAGAATATACTAAAAGTATTCGTGAAACAGGAGAAGTGACTAAAGTTCTAAATCTAATGAACTAATTCCAATATGTTTTATTTGTTATTTGAAATAATTGATATAACGAATCTTTTAAAAAACAGATTGAAAGTATTGAATGAACGATTATCGATCAGATAAATTTCATAAGATTGAGCTTATTATCATTAAAATCATATGTCTTCTTCTTTTTTTCTTTTTTTTTTTTCATTTTATTTTAATGGAAAATACTGATTTAAATAAGCAATAAATAATATGAAGACCAGTTGAATCAGCTTAAAATAAAACTTGTATCGTTGAAGAAATACCATAGTAGGGCCCGAAACATACCTAAATTAAGTCAAGAAATTAGAAAACAAATAAGAAAAGGTGTATTTGAAGAAGAAAAAGAATTCAAAAGAATTGCGAAAAAATATTGGGTGATTATGTTAAGCAAGCCGCATTGGAATTTAAAGAGTCGCTGGACTCTAAAGCAGCGGCAATCGATTGCAAAAAATAGTCTAATCTATTTATTTGAGCATGAAGTTACGGTTAGTAGTGCGAGATCTAGCGTCGAACTAATTGCAAAATTTGTGCACTCGTTGCCCCAGGATTGGACTTCATCTCGGACATTTGACCAAGAAGGTCTTGTGAGTATTGTGATTAGAAATCGGCATCATCGCTACGCTAATCTTAAAAGGATCGAAGCGCACAGAAGATTAGAAAAAAAATCCCAGACGAAACTTAAAATCATCAATGTGTAAGAGCAATTAAATTTTCATTAAATTGTTTTCTTTTTGCAAAAAAACTTGTTTCCTATACCAATCAAATTTATTAACTACGATTGATATATTCATAGTTCAGTGCGTTATAGTTAACTATTTAGTTAGAAGTCGTGTTTTGATAATTTTTCATAATTTTATTAAACGCTTATAAATTTGTATGATAGACAGTAAATAATTGATTGGCATTGATTAAAATAAAATATTCTTTTAATCAAATATCCGAAAAAGTTTTTATATTTCATAAGATTTTTTTCATATATATTTTGCTTTAGAATATAATTATTATATTATAATTCACTTTAAAGTGATATAAATTAATAGGGAAGATGATGGATAATTATGTTAATATTTTAAAGATTAAGCTGAATTTCTATTCTACAGATTACATTAATTATTTAATTTTTTTATTCAAAATGAGTTGAAAATAATTTTCCAACATTAAATTGCATTGAATATAAAATAATAATTATGCCTTTACTTTTTTATATTCTATAAATCGTTATGTTCTATTCTCAAAGTTAAATTTATTTAGTGTCTGCAACAATTCTGAGATGTTCGTGTTCAGAGGGACATTAATGAGACGAATAAATTTTTAATGAGAATAAACTCGTTTTAATTTAAACATCGCGCTGTTACTGCATAAGTCGTCTTATAGAGATCACAGTTGTTCAAACAGAGTAATAAATTTTTATTTTAAAGTTATACAAAATTTTGATTCTTTTAATAGATCATTTATCAACGTACGTTGTAATTTACATTATTGTTAAATATTTTTCGTCTTCAATCTTCAAACATTTTTATACAATTTATAAATAATTCATTTTATACAAAAGCGAATAAAAAATAATTATTTTAGAAAAGATATTTAACCATTAATTATAATTTTATTATTTTTTTTTAAACATTATTTATTATATTTACAATTTATCATTTGTGGTTATATTAAGCGTCCGAGAAATAACATGTAAAAAAATATAAATTTGTTGCTTTTTAAAATTTTATTCAACATATATATATATATATATATATATATATATATTTAAAAAAAAAAAGAAAGAAAGAAATGTAATTTTATACACGCATTTATTGACAAAAATCATTTTTATACGTAGAAAATTGCAAATTAATTATTTAAAACTAATATTTGGAGCAATTAACTATTAAATTAAACTAATTATTAAATTAAATTTAATTTATTTCAATTTAATTGCCAAACTTTTTATGATTTTATATTTTAAGAAACTTTACATTTAAAAATTATTGATTATTATTTCTTGTTAGATATTTGTAACAAGATTTTATTGAAATAATTTATTTTAAACGTAATTTCATATTAATTTGACTTGTTAATAAATTTATTTTTTAAATTACTTAAAATATTTATACAATGGAAAAACATTAATTTATACAAAATATAATATTTTTAGATAAATTGAAATCAGTTTCATAAGTAACTATAATTTATAATAGCATTTTTATGTTTCCATTTTAAAAAATTTATATCATATGTGCAGCACACTAAAAAGATTTTATCTTTAAAGTAACAATTTTTTCAATAACAGAATATCATTTATTAAACGTACCGATAGAATTGGACAATATTATAATAATTGATGTTTATTAATAATGATTTGCAAGTTATAAAATTTGAATACTGAAATGGAAAAGGATAACAATACGTAGTATAATTTTTAAAGTTTCTGGTCGACCAGATATCTATTATATGTATATTATAAAATTATAATTCTATTTTTATCTTTTTATTGATTAAATTTAATTCTTAAATAAATACCTTAATATTTATAATTGACTAATTTTTATAATTTTAAATTTAGAGATAATTTAATGTTTAAATAAATATAATTAAGAATATTTTAGCAGACTGCTGATATTACAAACACAACTGTGAATTTCAAGATTATTTTTTTTTATATTAAATCTTGATAAGCTTCTTATTGACAATGATTATTACCAGAAGGATATTGTTTGCCATTCGGAAGCAAATTATAATGTAAACATTTGAAATCGTTTCGAATAATTGGGGGATCACATGTATTCTGGCACGCGGACTTGCACTAAACGCAGCGCCGCGGTTCTTTTTACGATAAATATCAGTATGCTTTCATTTTCAAAATTGCAGTAAATTCATATACGTATTTAAGATCACAAATAATTTTTTACACGTATGTATTGATTATGTGTAGGTCTCTCTCCATCTCTCTCTCTCTCTCTCTCTCTCTCTCTCTCTCTCTCTCTCTATTATACATTTACTTTTTATATTCATAGAATACATTTTAATGACACTATCAGTAAGAGTTTTTTTTATCTTGTAAGATAGTAATATAATTCAAGCTTCTCGATTAAAGCTTGATTATTATTTTCTCATTTGTTTCAATAATTGATTAGATCTATTTTTGGTATATCTAACGTTCGTAATAGTTTTCTCGTTAAAGCATTAATTAATTAAAACAGGATGGAGACCTTTATTAGCAAGTCTAGGTTTTCATGATGCAAATAAATTTGGATTTCACGATCGCTGCATTATCGTATTTATGTCTTTTTGGTGATAGAAATACGTAACGCCTTTGATCACAATATATACAATAATATTTATTAGAAAAATTTCTTATTTTTTTTTTTTTTTTTTTTTTTTTTTTTTTGAGTTATTAAATTTATATATACTACCGCTTGATGTCAATAAAGCCTAGAAATTAAAAAAATGAAAATAAATTGAAAATATGATAATGGATTTAAAAACAACTGCAATAATACAACATTGAAGTTCATTTTAATATTAAAGTAACTTTCTCTGGTTTGATTATTATCCCATTAAAATAAAGATCGGCTAGTTAAATTGCGTTTATGTACAGATCACCGCAAAGCCAAGGAACCAGTGGAAGTTCTTCACCCGTGTCAGTGCCACCTGTCGCCTTATCTTCCAACGCGGGCACAGCACCCATCATCTCCACTTCAGAATCCAATCAAGAAAACGTTGAAGTAGCGCCAACCCTATCTTTACCTCCTACTATTCTGCCGCAACAAACATACTCCGAGATAAACGTTAGTACTCCTTTTTTTTTGTAATATATATAATACTCGTATATTATCAAAAATTATTTTAAAAAATCTTTACAGTAAATTCATTTGATTATATGGCTATACTTTTTTAAATACATTGCAGGTTATATACACTAAGGATAATTGTATAATAATTATTGCTCCATTAAGAAATCATAAGTTTCTTATGTTTCTTATGTTTCTTAAGTTTGTAAACTTTAATTTATATCAAATCTACGAATTTCAAAACTAGTAATAGAAATAAAACTTTAAAAAAAAAAAAAAAACATTATAATTCTGATTGAACGTTAAACTATAATTTATATTTAATTATATATACAGATTTTTATACATTTGACGTAAGAATATATAAATTTAAATAACAGTATTCGTAAAATTCATTAAAACTTCCCATATTAACGAAATTTACCAGTAATAAAATTAGTTAGTGATAAAATATTTTATTAAAAAATATATTCATGAAATTAACACATTTAATAGATATTCATTAAAGTTTTACGCTAAGGTGATTTATAATATATGGAGCATTAGATATTTTATCATTTTTGTAATTACAGAGAAACTAATACGTTACGTATATTATAACTATATTATTTTTATTACAATTGTTAATGAATTAAAATGAACGATTAAAAAATAATGTAATAGATAAAATATAGTACAATATGTTGATATAATCGTTCATTGCCATTTCATATTTCAACATTATATTTATTAAACAAAAATTACTTTTTCCAATATAACGTGTTATAACAACTGAGATATTTACATTGCAAAGAAAATAGAATCAATAATATTGTTCTAATTACATAATTGAATTATGAAACAAGAACATATTGATATAGAGTTTGTATTTTTTTTTTTTTTTTTTTTTTTTTTTTTAAAAAAAATATATATTAAAGAGAATTTAAAATTTATGCAGAATCGAATCAACACTTATTTATGTTATTAATTGTATACAATGCTATCGTAATTCCATATGAAATAGTTGTTAGTTGATAAATTAATAAGCTAATTAAATTAGTTAATTAGTTAATTAATACTCGATTATTTAAGATAAATTTTTCAAATTAGCATTTGCATTATAACTAACTGCTGATAATTTTTAAGTATTTCAATGAATACGTACTTTTATTAATATAATAACGTATATCTCTATTCGGTGAATATCCGTAAACTAATTTTTAAGTACCTTATGTGTATGTAAAAATTTATAGAAGTAAAGGATTAAACTATTTTTCTTGAGAGAATTTTATTTTCAATAGGTTTATTTTTTTGTATTATACAGTAGAATTTGTAAGAAAAACTAAGTTTATGCGATAAGATTTTACTATAAGCCTAATACATGAAAATCATATGCTTTATGGTAAATTAACAGTAATTTCTTATTTCGCATTATTTTTTTATTAATTTTTTTATTTTTTTTTTTTATATAAATAGTTAATTAAGCTAATTTTAATAAATGTTATCAACTAATAAAATTGTTATAATGACGAATAAATAGAAAACTAATAAATGCTTTTTTGCATGAGCGTTTTTAAATTACATTAATATTTACAATTTTTAATGTTACATTTTAAATATTTAATAAAATATCTGTTTTATTAATTATATTTTGTTTTTCGTTAAATTTTCATAGCGTTCATGTAGCATCATCTATAGCTTTGAAAATATATAAAAGACCTTTTATCAAGACAATTTTTACTATAATTATGTAAAATTTTGTTCATTACATATGTCATTTATCTTATAAATAAGACAATTATTCGTTTCCAAAACATGGCGGTTATACGCTAGAATTATAAATATTAATATTATGACGCAATACATTTTTACACTCTATAAATTTAGAACTGTGGGGATAAGGAGGCGCTAGGTGTTTTATAAGTATTTCAGAGTATCAGAAAGATGGTAAGCTGATGATTTGTCATTGACGCGCGTAGATATAAAAAATATTCTCAAAAAAATTATTAAATTTTATAAACTACGTGTAGTGTTATTGTGAAATGGCGACGATCGGAAAATATAACGTAATTATAATGATTGATAGGTGAAATCGAGCCAGGGAGAGCTGCCGGCCAATGCAAACGCTGCGCAGACATGCTCGTGGTTACGTGCGCACCACTTCCATGCTTTTGAATCGACCTTCACCAGTTTCTCAGCTGCAGACATTTTGCGTTTATCCCGGGACGATCTCATCCAAATTTGCGGCCTCGCTGACGGTATTAGACTTTTCAATGCGCTGCACGCCAGAGCACCCCAGCCAAAGCTCAGTCTTTACTTCGCAATGGAAACTGGCGGGGGTGCCGCTGGACTTTGGCGTGCCATCTACTTGAAGAGCCTCACCAGCGCCTCCCTCACGAGCAAGCTCCTAGATACTCTCGGCTTTTCCCGCGACAGATTACACTCGGTACTCATTCTTGGGCCTCAAGGTATCCACGTGCTCGTAACTAATGAGCTTATCGCGAACATGAAGGACGAGAGTATGTTCGTGGTTGAAACTATCAAGGGTACGTACTCTTATCTGAATTTGTCGATTGATCAAGTTTAGATAAATCATGGCTTATTTTGAAACTATATTATAAAGGATTATCAGTGTTAATTACTTCAGCTCGAATTAAAAAATTTTTACCTTCTAAAATATAAACAGTTTTTCCTTTGCTATTAAGGATCAATTGATTTTTATAAAAAACTTTAAACATACATCTTAATTATATATATATATATATATATATATATATATATATATATATATATATTCTTATTAAGATTTCAATATTTTATCAAAATTCAAAGAACTGTACTTCTATTAAATTTATGTATGTATAAATTAAAAAACATTTTTAATAATGTATTTTCCCATTTTAAAAGATCCTATCTCAAATTCTTTGATCATTTACATTTTTATAAGTGGTGCTTTAATTATTAGCAACGATTGTTACAATAAAAAAAAAAGTACAATAAAAAAAATGTACATACATATATATATATATATATATATATATATATTCTATAAATAATTACAATTTTTCAATGGAAATATACGTTATATTACATTAATTAAAAACATCATTTAACAAAATTAATAATTCGAAAAATTATAACAAATATTGTGAAATTGATTACATTCTGAATAATAATTTAGAATTTTTACTGGCCTATTTTAAAAACTAATTGTAAAATAAAATAAATTATACTCCATGAAGTATAATTATATTTGAAAATTTCCAATATATTTTTATTCCTTCATACAATACAAATCAAGTAAAAAATATTTGAATTATTTTCTGTTTCAGAACCAATCACTGATCGTTATAAGCTTCTGTTAAAGCCTTCTTCTCATTAAGTGTATTTATATGAGAATTTCGAAACAGAAGATAAAACTAATATTCGATACATTTAAAATCTGTAATATTTATTAAATATTAACGAATCGATGCATTTGAAAATGTATATTATAATTGCCAACTTAAAATAATCTTAAAACATGTCATTGACTTCGATGGATATGGATCGACCTGTTATTTTTCTAATTTAGTTTCGTTTGGATATTTTCTATTTTTAAAGCGGAAAATGCAAATATTTTAGTAATATTTGTCGTTTCTTGTATATATCTTCTATTGTAAGGTGAAAAATTTTCATACTAACTTTTTCAAATCAATTAAAACACATTCTTATACTTCATATTTTAATTATATTGTAAATCATTACTATTTTTGTTATTTTTATTTTGTTTCATTATCTTTTTATATAAAATTTTATCAATTATTGTTTTCATCAAATACATGCATTTTAATCAAGTACTCAAATTTTTAATATTTTTAAAAGCGTTTGTCGTACAACAAAAGATTTAGAAAAAAATAATATATAAACATTTTAATATTTGTGCAACATTTTTAAATGTGTTAAAAAATTTTATTAAGAATCGAAAAAAAAAAATGTGCCAATGAAGTATGCTTCGTATTAAGTTAGGCTTTGTATTTTTTAGAGTACAGAGAATCAATATAATGGATCTTCATTTCTTATTGTATTATTGATTTATTGCACATTGTTGTGTGCACACGAGACATTATAATTCCAATGCATTTTATTGAATTATGTCATTATATTTTTTAGCATCATATACAAAAAATGTGAATAAAATCGTAATAATAGATTAGTTACATGCATGAGTATAAAATTATTGTTATTCTGTATTTCAAAGAATTTTTATCTGGCTTGGCACATTAAAATTTCCTGTGCTAAATATTAGTCTTTATTTTTTATATAATCTCACCACATATCTACTTATATAAATGCAAATGTATAAAATTTAAATTCTAAAAAATTCACAATTTTTCATACAATTATCTGTCTTTTGTTAACAAAATAATAATAAAATAAAATATTAGGAATGTTGTTTTATTATCCACACTCTTCCATAAAAATTTCATTCATTAAAAATGTAACTTTAATAATTATAAGCGCACATTTTAGTTAAAAAAATTTCTATTTATTTTTCTTTTTCATCTGCTTGTTTTTCTTCTTTTCTTCTCGTTTTCTTTCACGCTCAGATAAACTTTTATACAATTTATATCCGAAGAAAACTGAAAAATAAATAAAAGGAAAACATTATAAAAATATTTATATTACACGTAGGGGTATACTTTCCTTATCATGACAAAAATGTTCATATACATATTTTAATAAATAATTTAAAATTTATTTTAAACATGTTATAATCTAAATAAGAAATTAAATGATCTGCAGCCAAAATAGTTTTCAATACAACTATTAATTTTTAATTTATATCAATAAAGACTTGCTTAAATAATTTTTAAAAGTATACAAGTAATAAGTATTTTAATTATGTTTTGCTTATTTATAAAGAATAATTTTTTTAATTTAAAAATAATTACCAACTAAAATAACAGTTCTCGTTAAACTAGTAAAGCGTATTATTTTCGTAAATTTAAATAATACTTGTGTGTAAAATGTTGAATTAATTTTAATATTTTTAGATTATTTCAAAGGTTTTATATTAAAAATTTTCTTAAAAATTAATTTTTATTTTTAAACATTAATTATATAATAGTACAATTATATAATGTTTTATCATACTTTGCTTTTGCAGTTTTTCGTTTTATATGTTTTTGATAATAGAATATGTCAAATTTAAATTTGTCTTTTAAAATATCAACTTAATTAACATACATTCTTATTATTTAAGGATAATTCTAAAAGACTATTCTTTGATAAGTTTAATTTTAATTCTATGATCAAAGTAACTGCTATTATAAAAAAAAAAAAGGTCGTGTAATTAAAGAAATATGTTAAAATATTTGTTATATTAGTTAATTTAAATTATTTATGTATATCGATTCTAATATATTGAGATAAAAAGTGAAATAAAGATATTTTATATTTATTTCAACGTTCGGAGGATGTTTTACATAATCAATGAATAAAGATTTATAATCTTATTTTACTCTAATTTCCACCTATTTTGTGGAAGATAAGTATCTTTAAAATTTTCATATTTTTTTTCATAATTTAAACATTTGTATATGATAATTAATATGTTCAAGGCTGTTTTTATTTATACAAATAATAATAGTTGAAAGAATTCAGAAAAATAAAAATTTTTTAATAATACTTTATGAAATTTAATTTCGTAAGTTATGCATTCACTTGTTATAAATTGAGTTTAAATATCTTTTTTAAATATAAAAGTAAAACATCTCCACATAATCAATTATGTAAAACATGATTCTATGATAATGCGATAATTCAATTTGATACTTCAAGTTTTTTTTTTAAATAAACATTCATTTTATGATTTTGAAGTTCAATAGGATTTCATGAATTGATAATAATTTCACTGAACAAGAACAAGAACAAGAATAAGAACAATATGAGTGATATATAATTTCTAAACCAGTAGGTAAATATTTCGATGTTCAGCATAAAAGATTAAAATTTTTTTCTCTTTCAAGATAAACTAAAAATACCACTTTTATATCTCATTTGAACTTTTGGACTTGATTATAAACCCAATAAATTTCTACTATAAATCACTCAGTAGATGGTAATGATTCTATTACTTTTTAATAAACAATTCTAGCGTATTCATACTTTATAAAGTATACTAAGTGTATAATAATAAATGGATAAAAATTAAAATCGCTTAACTTACAATAAATTATTTTTATTTATTTAAATTTGTCATGTCTTTATCATTCATTATAAAATATATAAATTTTGTCATTATTTATCACCAACAAATAGACAACTATATATCATTGATATTAATAATTTGAATATTATTTTAAGAAGTGTGTTACTAGCTACAAATGAAAACTCGTTATATTCATTTAAATAATAATCAACATTATAATAAAAATATATTAAAAAATACATTAAAAATATATACTGTTTAAAATGTTACGAACATGTTAATGAGAATTCTTGATTTTCTAATAGTTTATGCAGCTAATGTACATAATTTTTAGGGGCTTATAAAAATGAATGTGAGTTAGGATCTTAACGGAATTATCATAATTAATAACTTTACACTAAAATAAAGCAAATAATAACCATTTTGTGGCTATGGATTTTTTCATAATGTCCTAAAATAAGTATTGATATTATTATATGAACAAATAAATGCAGTAACAACATTATCATTAGTAATAAATTTTCTAAAAATGAGTCACAGCTAATAAAATTATAATAAATTTATTGGAAAAATAAATAATTATTAATGGAATAAATAGTTATTCCATTAATTAATTGATATTATCCATAATAAAAATAATAAATAAAACTTAATATTTTTTAACAATTAATTATCTACTCTATAGTTGTTACAGCAATTTAACGACAAAAGATACTTTCTTGAATATCTCATCAAATATGGACATGTCGATATCGATCAATTATTTTTACGAATTGATCGATAATAAGGCATCTAAAAACTCTAATAGATGCATAAATTACCAAAAATAAATGCGATGAGCGACAGCAAGGAGAAGAGTATTAAAAACTGCGAGGTAAAAAAGGACGCAGTTAGAAGGCTCGCATCATCGTCTGGTACAATAGGACCTGAAGCTCCTTTCAAAATATCGCGACGTATCGCCTCCTTGTCGTCTTCGGAGAGTCCACTCATTGAGTTAAGCGCCCTAAGCAGCTCTTCGGATGTAGACATTTTGTCATTAGAAAAATCTCGAAAATTCTTGACAGGAGGTACATCACTCTCAATGACAATATCTTCGCCTAATTTGTCAAGTGAAGCTAAGACTGGGGCCCATCCAAAAAGGCTACGTAAGGTCAGCAACGTAAGTAACGACAGCATTTTCTCTTTGCTTTCCTTGATTTTCTTGAACTAAATGCAGTACCCACAAATACGTTCCTATTTTACATGTGGATAAAGTTAAGTTGACAAAGTGCAAAATGCATCTTAAGGTGACACATCGTTTCTGATTTACGATCAATATAAAAGTTGTACTTGAACTTAAAAATATTAAGTTATTGAGTAACGCTATTGGCTTATTAAATATTATTCATTCATAAAGTAATAGGTCGATTATTTAATTCTTTTTTTAAGGAATCCATCTTCTTTAAATGTTAAAGCAATTATTATATTGACGTTTTTAATTAAATAAATATACAAATTATCTGTAATATGTGTTTTTCTTTAATCTTTAATATATTATTAAAGAATGTCTATGTATAAAAGAATAGAATATAAAAGAATTTTTATTAGTTTAATTTTCTATAGTACTTATATAGTGAAATTTCAGGGTAAATAAATAAATATATATATATATATATATATATATATATAGTATATTTCAAGAAAAGGATAATTTGTATCTAAAACCGATATTTTCAGAATTTATTAAATTAAGTTACATTTCCAGTCAACATGTTTACTCTAAATTAGAAATATATAAGTTATCTTTACATTGATAAAGTCTTTTAATCTCTAAAATAACAATTACATTATCTAATTTGAATGAAATTACTATAGATTTATCCGAATAAATATGTTGCATTATCTAAATTGAAAATAACATATCGCTAAAACAATTCTAAATTAAACACGAAATAATTTATTAAAATTTTATTAAAATATTATTAAAATAAAGACTCTTAAAGCCAAAACTCAATAACTCAATAACTTAATTCCGTCTTCATATCGGTAAATGTACATAATTTCAATAAAATACATTTTTCTAAAAAAATACAAAAAAATAAATATGCAAAACATATTTAATTGAATGTATGTTTATTTATGATAACAAATTTTAACTCTTTTTCGACAATTAATTTTTGCTAGTAATTGAATTTAAAATTGAAATGTATCTAGTCAGGCGTGATGTAATTAAATTTTGAATAAAATTATTTAAATATTTTGAAAATTTTATTTATAATAATAAAAATATTTAAATTAAGATAATTTGCAGTTGATTAAAAATTGTTCGGAACTCATTTGAAAAAAAAAAAAAAAAAAAAAAAATGTTCTAACATCTTTAGAAGAAATGAGAATTATAAAGAAAATATTATTTTGTACCCAACAGAAGTAGCCTTTTTATTTTCAAACAAATGGAAAATGTCACAATTTATTTATTTCCTTAATTAATTTATAAAGACTAATTTAAATAGAATTTAAATTTAAATATAATTCAAGGGAAAATATATGAAATAATTCGATCTACTGTAAATTTTAAAAAATTTTTACTACCTAATTAATTAGTATACCGTTATATTCTAAATTATCCAAAATGCATTTTTTTTTATCATTGCAATTTAATATTGAACGAACGAAATGCCGAAAAATGCTTACACTTACTTGACTAAGCGTTTTTATCTAACATAAAAGTTTATTTGTATAAAAGCACACGCCTTAAAAAGTCATAAATCTAAAAATCCGTTGTCAATATTTGAATTATACGGGGCAAATAGTATTCTTATCATTTTATCTAATCTACAAGTTAGCTAAACATGAGTGGACTTAACATCGAATACAGTTGAAACAAACTCTTAAGTTTCATTAGTATTTAACAATTCGTAACAGATTAAATACATATGTACGTTAAATGTGTGCCTATGAAATTTTTTTTATTAAATTTGTAAAAATCTAAAGAAATTAATTAAATTGTTTAACTTATGTCAACAATCCGAATAAACCTTAAACTAATTTGCAACTTTAATGCTTTATCATCGCATTAAATTTCCAATTGTTTAATTAAAGAAATACATATTATTTATTTTCAATCTATTATAATTTATTTCAATAAGATAGATAATTACCTAAATATACTTTTTATTCAACTATAACAATAATAATAATAATAATTCATGTACCACCGCTAGCAATGAAAAATTTTATATTAACCAACGTAATACTTTTTTTTTGTGTCTGAAAACTATTATTCCTTATATTAATTAATTTGTAAATATCATACATACTTTTTAATATTAAAGATAAATTACTTAGATTCGAATAAAATACCACGTTTTACCACTAATTTTAAAATTTGGAAAAATTATAATGAATTATAATCATATTTAAAAATACATTTTTTAAGCATATGCAAATCGTTTAATTGTTTTATATGATATTTTAGTTTTCATACAATATTTTACTTTTATAATATTATATTTATTTTAGTTTAGACAGTTCAGTATAAACTCGATCATTTAATTATTTATATTTAATATTTGCTATTGAATTGAAGGGCTAATAAATTAATTTTGAAACTACAAAAATACGAATAAAAAATCAACAGCCATCGTTAGCATACTTAGATTTAAATCAAGTCAAAAACTTTCAAATTCGGCAGTTTTTTTTATGAAAGTATTTTATTAGAGGCACTTATTAAGAATTGGTACTTATAAGAACATTCACAGACGTAAAATGAATTAGCGTTATACATATATACATATATATATATATGTGTGTATGTATATATATATATATATATATGTGTGTGTGTGTGTGTGTGTGTGTGTGTGTGTGTGTAACTTGACACAATTTTAAAATTATACAAAATGATATGGAATTCAACTCATTCGAAATCAATAATATTAAAATTAATCTCTTGTGTTGTACTGTAAATAATATTTTAACCAAACTTTTTTATGATACATGAAAAATCTAGTTTATAAATAACGGAAGATAGACGACATTCAAATAATTATATTACACGAAGAAAAATTTTATGAATTAAAACAAATGTTTCTCAAACTTTTTCAATAACATATCAATTATATTAAAATACCTTTTAATAATTGTATATATTTTTCTTCTATTTCTCTGGGTTAGTCTTTTCTTATGTAAACGGATTAAGTACATCGATAGATTTTATTAATTAGAATTGCATTTCTTTTCTCATTTCAACTAATAAATGAAGAACGACTAACTAGAAAAATATAAATTTAAAATCTCCATGACAAAGTATATACAGCCGATACAACCACATTCCACTTGGCAAAATTTTAGTCGAATACGAAGTACGTGTTTGTTGAAATTTTTTCAATAATTCCAAATTTGTAAATCAAAGTTATACATTTCAGCAATTAACGATTAATACGGTATTTATTATTTTTACGCGTTGTTTTTTTTTCTTTTATGCGTGAACTCATCGAATTCGCATAATTAGTAGTAAACGATCAGGAAAAAGCGTCGCGTAAAGCAAAGTAGCCGATAACGTGCAATCGATTATGAGAAAAGCAGCTGATATGAGAAAAAAATGAAGAAAAGTACCTTATAATGGAGCATACGGCGCTCAGATCTGGCGACGACTATCGCGGGTGCGCGGCTTTTTGGTCCCGAGAGACAGAGACGCTCGATGAGCCACCGACTACGTGGCCGTTGACTCTTTTCTTCTTACAGCGAACGCATCGCGAATGCCAGGTGAGACGAAGTGGGGATAAACGCGTCACGCAATGCCAGCCCATTCGTAAGGTTCAGCACGAGGATCATTCGGGATGGATTGTGCTACTGACTCTCGAATCTCTTTATGCCGATGAATGGGAAGCTGTAAATTACTTACAACTCTTCGACAACAGATTATTAACCTATAAATTCGGCCTTTAGTCGCAATACTATACGAAGCTTAAAAAGCTCGTGTGTTAAAGATGCCAATCCTCAATTTTAAAGGAATCCTTGAAAGCGTATTAAACTAATAGTGATTGACCTATAGCTTTCCCGCGTCACAGCTCCATTTGAAGTGCTTAGAGCGTTACTGAAACAATACTTATTGCTTCCATAATAACATTGTAAGTGTTAATAATTTTGTTTCCCTAACTAGTGATATTAGATAATAATGAATTATAAGCTTTTAGATGGGCTTTGAAAGCCACCAATATTACTTGTATATACACCAAACCATAAGGACTTTTAAAGTATGTTTTTGTCTTTTTTTTAATGATTTTGTGTAAACAAAAAAATTACTTTGAATACAATTTTAATTACAATTCGTTTTTATTCTTAAAAATCAATTCATTCTAATTTTTAAATCGTTACACATACATACTTCAATAATAATAAAGCTTATTAATATTTATTAATAATAACAATTTTTCGCAACATTAATGTGAAATATTAATTTTAATAAATAAACTAAATTAGAAACAACAATATGTTGAAAATTTTTTATTGTCAATACAAATTTTGTATAATTTAGTTGAAGGACACGTAGGTAAATCAATACCACTCGTAAAAATTACATTGTTAAGTGTATGTGATATATAAATTTAATAGAATCTAACAAAAATGTTTAAACGATTTAAACGAATATTTTTCAATGAACCGAGATTACGACCGAAACAATTTTCTATAACTAAATTATTGAGCTTTAAAGTGAAAAAAAAAATTAGAGTTTTGAAATAAATATATGTTTATTAATTTTATCATTTTTCAGCAGAACAATGTATTTTCGAGAAAAAAAAATGTTTACTACTCATTAATTTTTAAATATGGATTTAAAAAGATTTCTAAAATTACTCCTTCCCAATAGTTCTTCAAAATAATCAAAATTTATCAATCTTTTAATTTTATTGCATATTTAGATTGCAATATTGACATATTCAAGTTACACTTATATAAAAAATTGAAAATATTTCAAAATACATCCTTTTGTTCGAATAGATTTTTATGAATAAAAATCGATGACAATAATTTATATCGAATATATTAAATATATATAATTTATTTATTAAATATATTGTATTTCATGAGATTTGTTTTGAGAATTACTTTTCAATGTTATATATTTATTTTCTAATATTTAGAAGTATATTTTTCTATATTATAACAAGGAAGTACATAGCTTTTTGCTATTAAATTTGTAGTTCGGTAAATGCATTTTCAATAAATTTTATGAAAATCATGTCTAGTGCCATTTATTTATAATATAATTTATATTCTATTAATTTATTATCCAATTAAATAAAATGTAATTAAAACACAAATAAAAATTAATTATTCTTTTTTACTATGACTCAAAAAAGTAAAGAATATTATATTTGTATTACAAAGCATAATGTTAAACTAAGTTTACCATGTTCCTAATTATTTTATTAAAATTTTGATATTTAAATTTTTTAGAAAATGATTATATGAGAAATAAAAAAAATTTCTATTAATATGACTATCATACGTTACTAATCAGTTACTACACGATTACTAATTTCATTTTCAATTACATTATCACTTCGTTTGTTTCTATAATATTAATAAAATAACGTACACAAGCTAATAGTCTTAAAGATATTTTTAAACAACATTAATTTAAATATTATAAAAACATTGCTAATTAATTATACTCAGAGAATAATATTCAGAGAAATATTATTAATTATTAATGTTTGACTTATTTTAATCAGTATTGTTGAATACAAATATATAAACATACAATTTTTCTTCCATATTTATCTAATTTTCAATTATCGTGATTAAAATTAACTTTCCGATTAATTATCAATTAAATTTTAAACAATCTTTATTAATGTATGTGTTAGCTGTATTGAATAGCCATTTATATAAATTTAATATTTTTAAAAAGAGTAAAAAATCATTCGTGTTTAGATATTTAAATAAATTGTTTAGTCCCTTTATTGAATTAAATATATTTTTAAAATAAAAATCTGTAATTGCAAAATCTCTAGATATTTTAATAGTTTAATAGATATTTTAACTTGAACAAAGTTTATATTCCTAAGATATCGATTTACTTCTTTTAAAAAATATTTAAAGCATAATCATTTTTGTATTCTCGACTTGTAAAAATAGTGATCAACTATTCAACATCAATTAAACTATGATTTAATGAAGAAAATAATATAAAATAAAATTTAACGAGTAATAATAAAGTTTCATTATTTTTTTCAATTATTATACAAAGAAGAATCATCCCTCGAAGCTAGAATTTTTATTAAAAGTTTTATTAAAAATTTTTCAATTATTTATGATAAAATGCTAAATTATTAACGATATAATGTTTCGCATGTGTAAAGTACACCTGATAATTATATATTTTACTCTTTACATTTAACAATTGTTATTAATCCGTAGTTAATATAAACCAATATGTACAGATTTTCCGTATGTCTAATATAATTAATATAATGTTAAAGTATCTGATAAATACCAGAAATACTGATAATTATAACGGCAGGAATCACGAAGATGCCGTTGCTAAAGTCGTGACCAATTGGGCCGTCAGGATTGCCATTCAAGTCGACCATCGCACTTTTACAGTTCTCCAAATCCAAAGGACAATGTTGTCCTAGCTCACCTCACACTGTCTTGATTCCCTAATCAGCCATATAAATAATTGAAAGCGTCATTTTCAACAATGCGACTGCGCATTTTACATTACACATACATACGCATGCGCAAAAAATAAATCAACTTTATATTATCTTGGAAACGCCTAAAATGTGAAATATATACTATATCAACCCTATTTCTACACCTTAAATATCGTTTTTTATATCACAATTTTTTAATTTATTATCAATTGTTTCCTAATGAAGAATTATATTATTTTGTATTTCCTTAAAAGTATCACGACAGTAATAAATCTTATTTATTTATACATTCATTTTTGTTACGCTAAAGTTATTGTTTTTGTTACTGGAAGTATAGTTTCTATGAATTTCCGCACTTTAATGATTAATTTACAAAAAAAACAAATATAAGGTTCTCTTGCTTATAGATACTATAATTTCTGAAATCAATACGTGCCACCTACAGACGTAAACAAATTTATAAATAATAAGGATATATGTGTATTGCTTAAATTCGATGTCCAATGTAATATTCAAAATAAATATTCATTAAATTTGATAATTAGATCGTATATGAAATATAATATAATTGTAACACGTGATAAAAAAAAAAAGCATAGTAAAAATTTAAATATTGATATTTGATCATTATTCATTTTATTTTATTGTAAAATAGAGGATATGACGAATAAAACTTTAAAATAAATTATAGCATTTACCTAATAATATATGCTTTTTTGATTATACATAAAAAATTATTAATTTATTAAAGATTAATTTTTCATATCTCATTCATGTTGCAACATCGTGATTTGTCTCTAATAGTAGTGATTTATTATATATCATTACAGTGCTGATCATACTGTTCATCTTAAGTAGGTTTGTCAATTTTATGAAAAATATATAATAAAAGCTGACCGTTGATGAACAGTTAAAATAGTTGCTTTTACAAAATTGTATAAATGTATAAATATATGCGAATATATTATTTTACTTTCAACTTGTAAGCGAATGAAAGTATATACCATAAAATAAGTTTTCTGATATGATATATATGTATTGTATGTGCGTGAATCTTTTTTTAATTATTTTATATGCGTTTTTTATTGTGTAAAATACAATAATATTTAATATTTTAAAGTACTAATTTCATCAATATTGAATGAAAATGTATTTTCGTGTTTATTATTCTTAAAAATATTTGTTTACAACAATTATGCATTTTTTATTTGTCATAATAATGATAATTAATATACTATTATTATTTTCGTTTAAATTGTGTCATTGGAAATATGTTTTTCAAAAATTTTTTCTCAGTACATATTTTAATATTTACTTATGGTTAATACATAAGTTCATATTTTTACAAAGATCTTTTGTACAACATAACTAAATAAATTAAGCAGTAATAATTAATAAGGTTCATAAATATTAAGTAATATTTTGTGTAAACATTTTTTCTTGAAAAAAGAAATTCGTATTATAAAAATTGATAATTAATTTCAATTAGAAGTGGAATAATTAAATTACTATATATCAAATAAAGAGTTTGGTGGTGTGTCAATATAAAATAGTCATTGGATAATGATTAAATTATATTTAGATTAATATGTTGTTGTGAAAAATCGTAATCATTCGTTGAAATGATATAAGATATCGTGAGAATGTAGTTAAAGAAATATTTCAAACGCTTGTAATATATAAAATATAGAATTATGTAATGGATTATTTTCATTACTTATAGGTACAATCATAGGAATTTGCTTAATTCAAAGTTTCATTAACGTAATATTTCGTAGTATTTTATAAAAATTAATTAACATATGTTTAAATTTTAAATTGAATAGGCAATGCTATTTTAAAATTTTAAAAGGATCTACAGTGACCTTAGATATAACCGCTAGATGGTGATATGTTCGAATGTAGGCCTGGATCGTCGTATATCTCATATTTACGCTCGTTCTTTCCTTCTTTATCTGTATTATTTTATAAATAATATTCATATTAATTTCTATGGACACAATATCCATATTCATACGACATTTAGTACGAAATTCTATATATATTTTTATATCAAACATAAAGAGTAGATGGTGTATGCATTCGAGTCATGTGCAACGAAAATTTAAAAATAATGTTTTTTTTTTAATAATCATAACTTTACATCATAATGGGGTTTTACAGTGCTTCAAACAAGTGCTAACGGTGCATTATTTACAGAGAAAATTATAAAATATTTGTTCGTATACAGATAGCAATTACCTCAACAATAATTTACTTATTATCGTCAAATTTATATTATAATCGAAAATCTTAATATTTTGTATACATTCTTCGATTATAATGCAATGGAAATCATATTATTTAAATATGTTTATTTGTTTAATTTATTTACTCAACTATGCCATATTGGTAAAATTATAATTCGTTGTATAAATGACTCGAATTACATATTTTGCATTAATTAGAGCGTTATCTTTAATCTTATCATAATTTTTCTTTGCACCAACTTATATATACAATTTATAATAAAAATTGCTCAACAGATAACCTTTATTTCCATTGCTCTAAGAAATATAGATTTGCTTATATGAAATCTAATTCAATAAATTTTTTTATTGCAATAATTGAAATTTTTAAATTGTAATATAATAGTTGTAGATTTTTCTGGAAGTTAATTATTTAAAAATGATTTTGAATCCAGCTAAAGCAATTTTAATACCAAGTAAAACAGCCTTGCTTATTTGTGATATGCAAGAGAAATTTGCCAAAGTTATCTATGAATTTAACAAAATTGTTACTCATTCTTCAAAATTGGTAATAATTTAAAATATACTTTAAATTTATAAAATATCAAAAATAATTATAATTTTTTTCAAGATCCAAGCTTGCAAAATATTAGATATACCAATGATAGTTACCGAACAATATCCAAAGGCATTAGGTAAAACAATATCAGAATTAAATATATCTGGAGCCAAAGGCCCTTTTCCTAAAACTCAATTCAGCATGTACACTTCAGAGGTCTGTTTACAATTTTAATATTTGAATATTTATGTAATTCTATTCATTTTTCAGAATAGGTATGTAAAGAACTCTCTTCACTTTGCAATAACGAACCTCCGGCATCAATTATTCTCATAGGTATCGAGTCTCATGTTTGCGTAGAAAATACAGCAATTGACTTAAAAAAAAATGGTTTCGAAGTACATACTGTAGCCGATTGTTGTTCATCTCGAACTAAAGAAGACAAATTACTTGCTTTAGAGGTAATAAATTGTAACTATATCTTCAATTAAGTTTTCTAACTTTTTAATAATTTCTAATGTTAACGAATTAAATACCGACTATGAAAATAAATGTATAAAAATATTCTATAAAAATAGTCGATTAAATTTGTGATAATATTAACTTTTATACAGAGAATGAGACAAATAGGATGTTTCATTGCATCGTCTGAAAATATAATTTTTAAACTCTTAGGAGATGCCAAACACAAGGACTTCAAACAAATTCAAGGTTTAATTAAAAATATAAATACCGATTAAATTCTTAATATCTATAATTATTACTATAACACAGATTGTTGAAAATAAACTATTATGTAAAAAAAAAAAATTTTATTAAAAAATTATTTAAAAAAGTAAATTTATAGTGTTCCATCCATTCAGCAAATTAATTAATACCAGTTGATCCAAAGCCACCAGTTCCTCTTTTAGTTTCATCTAATGTTTGAACTTCTTCAAGATCTGGATAAGCTATTTTTTCACATATTAATTGAGCAATGCGATCTCCTCGCTTAACAACGAAATCAATATCACTATGATTGAATAAAACAACTCCTAATTCGCCTCTACAATTAATTTTATATATTAGGTAATATAATAAATACAAGTTTAATTAAATAACGTTACCTGTAATCTGCATCAATAACACCTGCGCCAACATCTAAGAAATGTTTCCATGCTAAACCTGATCTAGGTGCAACTCTACCATAAGTACCTTCTGGTACAGCAATTTGTAAATTTGTATTAACAATTACTTTGCCTTTTGCCGGTACCACGCGGTCTTCGGCACTGTAAAAGAAATTGATTAGTACACTTTACAATGGTGATATTAAAATAGTTGAAAAGTTACGATTTATTAAACTTCGTTAAAAAAATTTTGTCCACACAATTTATTCTATAAACATATCAATCATTTTTCAAAATAATTTATTAAAAATTAGTTGTTAAATATTTTTAAACATTTAATTCAATACAAAAACTAATGCTCACCTTCTTAAGTCATAACCTGCAGATTTTTCCGAACCTTTTAGTGGTGGAAAAGCTTTATCGGTTAATTTAACAAATTTTAAAACACACTTATCATTTACAGGCATCTTAAACACAAATTTTTGCAATTTTTTCAAAATTCAAGAATTTAAAACTAATAAAAGAAATTAATATTACAAATTTCGTTTGAAATTAACGAACTTTCGAGCTACTTTCAAACGAAAATAAATGATTTTTACGCGGGAAAAATACCTACCCTGTCAATTTCATTTTACACCAGAAATGAAAAGCGCCAAATATCGTATAAATGAAAAACGAAACGTAAATTTAAAATAGATATTTCCTTTATATTTTATCAAATTCTTATCGATGAATTTTACAGAGTATAGTTATAAGTAAGTACTATATGATGTATTAAATATATTGTCAATACTTTTTTAGATTACAAGTGTATTTATATTATATAAATAAAATACAAATACAAAAGGTTGCCTATCATTATTAAGGAACCTCTCAAAATTTTGCTAATATTACTACTCTAAATATAATTCGTATAGAATGTAAAATCTTATGCATATAGATTTTCATTTGTGATTTTTATTAATGTCTATTATCATTATCCATAATAATTTATTATGCTTATGAAATTATAATATTCATTTTTATTTAAAAAGTACCTTAATATCAAAAGGACAATTTTATTGTAAAATCTTAACATTTTTATTAAATTTAATTGTTGTCATTTTTCTAATTGTAAAGTTAGAAAGAAGTTGCAGATTATTTAATACAAAAATTATCCTATTTGTATTTCAATTATAAAATTATTAGCCTATATTTAATTAATATATAATTTAACAGCAACCACATCATTACATCACATCACATATTTATTATTATATATATATATATATATATACTATAAATTTTATTTATTATTTATTTAGATATCGATTATTTATATTAATTGTAAGTTATTTTACAATTTGGTAGTGCAGCACTTAATTCGGTAAGAACATTAGATTTGTTTTTTATAGAAGGCATATCTCCAAGTTTAAGATTTTCTAAATATCTGAAAGAGAATTAAAACAATTGAAAGTTATTTAACTATCGTACATGCTACAATAAGTAGATAATAGATTATAATAAGGAATTATAAAAATATTTTTCTATATTTAAAATTAAGTATATTTTTTAAATATCCGGTAAGTATATCTCATTATATTTAGAAGTCAAATTTTTTCTATACAAACATTAGATTTTTAAGATGTAACAATCCTTCATCGGTAATCCTTTTACATTTCATTACTTCAATATCCTTTAATGAATCTTTTATACACGATAGCAATGATAAAGCTTCGTTTTCAACATAAGGACATTGTATAAGCTTAATTTGTTCTATATGCTTACATCCAGCTTGAAAATAATTTGAAATAAAATTCTCGAAATGGTTTCTTATATACAGTGTATTTAATAATATTTTACTCACAAAAATATAGAAATCCAACATGATGAATAGCAGAATCAGTAGCATCAACGCTTTGTAATTGTAGATGACTCATTTCTTGGGGTATCAAATTATAATCTTTTAGATACTTCTTTGAACCACACCATTTTATAAAAGCTCCATTACGTAAAAGCCATTCTGCACAAGCTTGATCAGGGCCTACTTTGTTAATTCTATCTTTATCGATACTAAACATGAAAATAAATGATTTGTATGAGTCGATATGTGACTTGTATTTAATGAATATAATTTTCTTACTACCTATTAAATACAATGATTAGCCATTTAAAGAAATGTCGTGATTTTATTTTATATTTACCACACTTTAATACATATTTTTGAATATTCAAGATGGCATTTAACATTATTGAATCAGCTGTAAAAAAAATTTATAAATTTAATACATTAGAAATCATATTTGTATGTAAAATATATTGTACTTATAGTTATATATATAAAAATAAATAGCTCTAATGAATGTATTTAAATTTTTTATTTTATAATAGATCAACGTGATTTATTCTTATATAGATTTTTAATTCTAATTCATGGTTACATGATTGATAATTGTTATTTTACATTTTTTTAAATATTATTAAAGTGTATATTTACGTATAAGAATTACAAACTTCTTCTAGCATCAATTGTAAGAAAGTTTATTGTGAAAAATTTTTCTTAATTTGAAAGAGACTACAGACGGGCACATTCAGTTCGGTTATTTAGTATTCCTATTCGATTCTCGATTCTGCGCACGTAAATATATTTTAATAAAAATTTGTGTGCCCTGAATATCATTACTTTTAACATAATAATAGTCTTTTTTTTTTTCCTAAAAAAAAAAAGCCCTTTTTGTTTAAAAACGTCTATTATATATACTGGCTTTTAAAATCAAATTTTAATTTTGAGTTGCCAAGTTAATAAGTTCTATAACTATATGTATTAAAATCCCTTTCTATAATGTATTTCAATGGATTCCTTTATATTGACTAAAATTTAATTATTAAGATTTTTTTATTTGGCGGACTTTTCATACTTGTTATAAAAGTATTTTTTTTTTAATATAATTTACAATGTAGGCATCTCGTTCTCTTAAATATTTTAAAGTTTTTCACTACTACTTTCTTCACGTATTTAACTAAATTATGACTGTAATAATAATAGTTGTAATGTCGAGAGTTTATTAATTGTCATAGATACTATTAGTATAAAAAAAAATTTTAAAGTCTACCTTATTGATTACATTAAAAAAAATATATGAGGAATTGTATAAATACAATGTATTATGAATTATGGAATTTCTTACTTTAATTATAAATAATATCGTCGATAAAAAATATAATATATATTAAAAAATGTCAATCTTTTTATTTATGTAACTTAGAATTATTTAAATAAATTGATATTTGTTCATTTAGAATTGCAAATGGTTTCAGTCAATTGATATAGTTGAAACGGAATGGACTTATGTACATATTTTTATAGTGAAAAAAATGATATTGTAAAGCATAAAATGTTACGTACAGATCTTACTTTAGCTATTGATTTTGTTAAACTTAGAAAAACAATATTTGTTCATACCAAATTTTAAAAGAAAAAGAATAATTTATTTTCTAAAATATTTTTAAATGGATGTATTTATAAATTTTTAAATTAAAATCAATGACAAAATTTTGAAACACGAATAATTCAATTGAAATAAATTAATCTGATAATGATGGCTAAATAAAAGATAAATTGGGATTATACATTAAATTATTCGACCTAATATTTATATATAATTAAAGTATATATTTTATAATAACAAAGCTTAAGCTTAAAAAAATATATAGTACCGAGACAACTATTTTTATGCTTATTGAACGCGTGGTATTTATTACCTAATGAACGTGCAAGTTTTTGAGTATTTTTTACTTTTAATTAATTTTGTTATCAAGTAGGTAAATTAATGATTAATGATAATAAATTATTTAAAATTTATTAGAAAGAAATGTATAATATATATCACGCAGGTTGATATTATTATCTTATTTCGAAAAATATAAGATTATAAAATAAAGTACATATATTTATTTGTGAATTATTAAAAATAATTATTCAGCTTGCGTATTTTCTGTTAATATGTCAGTTGATTTAAAAATTAATGATCAAGAACGTATAGGTTATGTATATTTGTTTATCTTACGCTAGATCAATAACAAAAAGAAATTTAAAATATGAAAACGAAATTGAACCAAATTATTGAAGAATTCGTATAATAATCTTTTTATTTAAGATAATGGGCTAAATGATGAGTTAAAATACTTGACAGTGCAATCAGTGATTTGTGATATAAATAGCAGATATAAAAGAACCATATTTTCAAGAGTAATGTATTATTATTTAAAAATTATGCTCAATAAAATTCTTCTTTAACTATTAATGTTCTTCAACTTTTTCAACAGGTATTTTTGTAACAAAATGTAAACTTTTTTTTGTTTGATTGAAGTCGTTAATTAATATGATCATGGTTTGTCCAGCAACTGGTTATGAAGCTCTATCTTTTGCTATAAGAAAAAACTCTTACAAGATGGCAGAAAAAATCTTAAAACAGCCCGATGCCCTACTAATTGATGATAAATGGACAGACTATATTCTTTTAATTAAAGCACTTCAACGAGGATGTAAACAAATTACAAGGTTACTGTTGAAAAATGGTTGTAGAGTTAATAAACCAATCAAAACAAATTTTTTTCATACTCCTTTATATTATGCAGTAAAATTAAAAGATACCCAGTTAGTAGAGTTATTATTGAGCAAAGGTGCTCTGATAAATGATAAAGATTTTAATAAAGAAACGCCACTTAGTTTAGCTTTGGAAAAAAAGTGTTACAAAATTGTTGATGTCTTGCTGTCTAAATATTTAAATCAAGCAATTGATTTAACTAGTCCTAGTCATGATGATTATATTGCATTTAATGCTGCTTGTCGAAGAAATAATAAGCACGTAGTGGAAAGTTTTTTGAAACAAGAAATTTCAAATAATATGTATCTCAATTATGAATCGAAAGATGAATATAATGATACTCCATTACATATTGCTGTTAAATATCAAAATCTAGAAGTGATTGATGTATTATTAAAATATGGAGCCAATGCTAATGCTGTAAATAAGAAGGAACAAACGCCATTACATTTGGCATATTATATGAAAGAAAAATATCCTTTAGAGAAATATTACAAAATTATTGATATAATTTTATCTAAACTTAAAAATACAAATGTAAATCCTATTGACAATTTCAGATTATCTCATTTTCATATTGCTTGTACAAGAAATCATTTAGATACTGTTAAACACTTTTTACTGTGCAAAGTAGATATTAATAGCTCTACTAGTTTTGATTCTCCAACTTGCTCCGGTTATCTGCCGCTACATTTTGCAATTGAAAATGGACAGAAAAAAATCATTGAATTTCTATTGAGTCAAAATGCTAATACATTAATTAAAAATAAAGAAGGAAATACTTCGTTGCATTTTGCTTTTAAATTCTTTTACTTGGACAGTAATTTAATTGATTTAATCTTATCCAAAGATATTTCAAAGTGTACAAATCCTGTTAATAATTACGGTCTATCTCATTTTCATATTGCTTGTACCACTAATAATATTGTAGCTATTGAGAAGTTTTTAGAAAATGAAGCATCAGTTTTTACTCCCGTGAATTTTAATTCGCCAATATGTCCTGGATATACGCCTTTACATTTTGCAGTTACTTTCAATAGAAGTACAACAGCTAAAATACTTTTACAACGTAATGCAGATTCAAATATGAAAGAAGCAAATGGTTTCACAGCTCTTCACTTAGCATGTCAACAAGATGCAAAGAAAATTCATACAATTCTTAGAAATTCAATTAATGTATCCAATACATATGGTAAAATAAATTTTGAACGTGCTTACAAGGAATCACCGATAAAAGTATTAGATTTAATAGCTAAACAAACAGAGCAAGTAGATATTCTTGATTTATTATTACAATATAAAAGTAATGTGAATAGTCAAGATAATTCAGGTAAAACACCACTATTTTATGCATGTGATATCGACGATCAGACATTTAAAAATGAGTTTGGTAATCATAAAACTCAGACCTTGCATAGTGTATTGAATCAGTTTTATATTAAGCGGAATAAAATTATTGATATACTTTTAAAATACAAAGCAAATGTTAATATTTATGATTTTAACAGTATAACAGTGTTACATTATATTGTGGATATTAACAAATTTTTTGGAGATGATAAGAAAACCGAAGTAGTTAAAGTATTATTAAATAAAGGAGCAGATGTTAATGCTAGAACTAAAACAGGCTTAACTCCTCTTCATATAGCTTTAAAAAAAGGTTTCATCGATCTTGTTGAAATTTTTTTGAAGTATAATATAGATCCAAATATCGTTGAATATGAAAATTTATATACTCCCCTTCACTTAGCTACTATGAACGATCTCCTTGCACCTAAATCTGAAGAAATAATTAGTGCTTTACTTACAAAAGGTGCAGACGTGGATATGAAACAAATTGATGGTAAGACTCCATTACACATTGCAGCTTCGACTCGCTATACCACTAATAGACTCGTAACATTGCTAAAAGTAGAATGTGATATCGATTGTCAAGATAAGAGAGGCAAAACTGCTTTACATATGGCTTGCCTAAATAGAAATGCGGATAATGTTCAAAATTTATTAAATCATGGTGCAGATATCAATATTACTGATACATTTGGTAAAACTGCATTTTTTTACTTTTATGAATTTCAATATGATGTATTGGATAGTAGAGTGCATGTCTACAATTTTCATCAAATATATTACATTTTTAAGAATCATATCAGAAGACTGCGTGTAATTGGTTTCTATGTTAGTTGGGAAAATATGTCATATTATATGAAATTAAAGGATTTACATAAGCAACAAGTAGTGAATAGTGACGAGGACGATTTTTTAATGCAATTGGAAAATGAAGTACAGAAAATGAAAAGTATAAAAATAAATAGCTACTCGTCTTTATATGACATTCTTTTCAAAGATTCGAATGAAATGACATTGTATATAAAAAATGACAAACTTAAAAATATTTTAGAATCGAGTGATTTTAAAAGTGAATTTGCACAGTATAGTTACTTACTTAAATTACAATTTGAAAAAGGTTTGAGAAGAAGCGAATTACTGAAACCTGCTAAGGATTCATTAGAATTTATACTGCTAATAAGTTTACCAGACGCATGTTCCGAAAGAATCTTTAGATACTTAAGTAACAGAAATTTAAAGGATCTAATAAAATCAAGGACACTTACTATTAAAGATTGAATTAAAGATTAAATTAAAGATAGAAAATTTGTTAATAATGTACATACATCTTCTTGTACAAAATATAACATTTATTTTAAAAATAATTAGTCATTTATGTGTATTTTGGCGAGATTAATCGAAATGTTCTTGAATATATTTATTAACTATCAAATAATTTCAAAATAATAATAAAAATATGGCAAATTATAATTTCTTAAAAATTGTAATGGTATAAAAGGAAACATATTTGAGATATTTCCAAAGAATAACATTGTTTATACAAAAATTAATTTTTATATAACATAAAAATTTCAAAAGTACTTGAACATCATAAATTTATTTAAATTATGTATTCATTTTTGTTTTGGTGATAAATTCTTTCTGTGCAATAAAAGAAAATATTTTTAATAATTCTAATAAATAATAATTTATGAAAATGCATCAAATACAAATATTTTTATTAATAATAAGAATTATAATAGAAGTAGAATAAATGTAAACTTTCATTACATTAAGAATAAAATTTTTTATTATTTTTATTTGTACATTTTATATATTTATTTGATTTTTTGTAAAAATTATAAATTATTAAATAAATTTAATATTTTGTAAATATTACTATCAACATATACAACTTTTACATTAAATAAAATTTACTCATATACATTTTTCTTTACATTAAACAATTTCATTTTTTCCCTTAATCAGTTTAAATATATACTATGATTTATAAGTAAATATTTTATATACACACAGTATTTCATAAATTTACTAATATATTTAATATATAAGTCTCTCTAACTCGAATTTGTATCACAATTCAATTTTTTCAAAATACAAAATTATTCCTTTTAAATAATAATTTCATTTTTTATAGTAAAAATAAAATTTGTAATTTATTTATATGTGTTATATATTATAGAAATAAGTTTTTTCATTATTCATAATAAATAATTACATCTTAATTTTAATAAATATATTTTTTATTCCATTTATATTATTTAAGAATAAATTTTAAATAAGTTTTCACTTTAATACCTAATACAAAATAAGTTGGATAATTTTATATCAGATTTACATATTGTTTGCTTATATTTTTTAATTATTATATCTGTTACATTTTTATGTTTAATATATGTTTTCTCAATATATATATATATATATATATATATATATATATACACTTATATATCAAGAAATGTAAAATGAATTTTGAATAAAAATTATATTATTAGGGATATTTTATGTTTATTATATTCTACCAGGTATTTAATTCATCATAAAGTTTTTAAAGCTTCTAAATAATAATTTATTAAAAAATATAAATTATTAAAATAAATACAAATTTGAATTCGATAAAAATATTGCTCTTAATATTTAAAAATAGTATAGTAATTATTGAAGCAAAATTAGTCTTAAAATAATGCTTTTTATAAGAGGAGTTATCGTTCATTAAATAGTGAAATCGATGGTAATTTAAAAATATTGAAACTTTACATGAAAATCGTGAATTTCATGAGAAAATATAAAACTACTGAAATTACAAAACAAAAATATATAAACATGTTTTGTAATTTCATTAAATTAATTTAAAGTTTTAACATTTTTATTAAAAGAATTCAATCATTATTCGTATCATGTTATTTATAAATATATTTCTTTTTTAGATTATTTTCAATTTTGTCATGCATTTCTTTAATAAATGTTTTGTAATATATTTTAGTTTATTTTAAAATGATTTAGATGTTTTTACTACTTTTGACTTTTACAGATTGCAATTTGTATTACAATATTTTTTTTATAATTAATATAATAACTACTACTATATTTAATAGTTTCTATTGCTAAAGAAAATTCTATAATTCACAATTTTAATAAAATATGTATTATTATTGTATTATTTTAAAAAAGAAAATAAGTCATTGTAATTTTATTATTAGCTTGTTGTTTGTAGTCTACTTAAAACATAATCAATCAAGACGATCAATTAATAAACAGTGATCAGTTTAATATAATAATTATTCAAGCACAAATCATAAAAGTAGTAAAATATATTCATTATAATTTAAAGTTTATTAATTTTTCTATATTTGCCTTTTCTTCTCATCTATGACAGTTCAACCTCATTTAAAATACCGATTAATATAGAAATTAAATATAAATATTTGGTTCATACATTTAATCATAGTCTGCTTTTAAAATCCACGATAAGTTGTAGTGATTAAATGTACGAACTATGATACTCAGATATCAGTCTATTAGTTTCACCTTTAAAATTTACAATCTAAATAAGTTTAGAAAGTAGATACAATCTATAATATAATTTTAATATACTAGTCCTATATTACAGTTGATAATTAGTAAAAAAATAATTATCTAAGGATTTTATTCCTTATTTTCATAAATTATAACAAAAACAAATATAAAATTATCATTTTTTCCAAGTAGTATCCACAATAATATGTTTTTTTTAAATAAAGAAGCCTTATTTAATTAACATTATTATTTGCTCTACCCACTGGGGGGTAATGATTCCTTATAAAAATCAGAAAGGCATTTGATTATCATACAAAACAATACATACAATGATCGCCACAAATGAATTTTACTTATTAGTAATTTGGTACGATATAATACATCATTCCTTTAACGATATGATCTTAGACAGGGTGTGTCGATCAAAAGGAAAGTTTATGAAATTGTTATTATTATCAAGTCAAATACAAGGAAACATTATTTCCATTTAATATATTTGCTCGATATTTTGGCCATAAAGGCTTTCAATTCAATTGTGTATTGAGACTAATGGAACTGAATTTGCAGTTACTAAATATCTCTAATATAATTTTTGTATCAGTTAAGAAACTACTGTATAGCATGCAAACTAATGAAATTTTTTTTATATAAAAAATTCGTTTGTACAAAATTATTATATTGTTATATGATTTTTTTAATTTCCTGAAAGTGCAACTATAAATTTATTAATATTATTATAATAGTGCGCTGCAACAATATTTGCATCAGTTTTTGTTTTGATGTGTAATCCAGTCAAGTTTAATGTATGTAAATATGGCATAACTGCGTAATGCTGACAAATATTCATTAGACTATCAACATCGCATGTTGGATTACTTTGAGCTACACTTTTTGATAAATATTTCAGAAAATATCTATTATCTGCAAGTCTATTACTAAAACAATTATCATACCACAAAGCACTCGCAAGATCTTCAGCATATATAATTAACCATTTAATATTTGTAAGAGAAGTTTGGTCGTTACGTTTTGTAAAATTTTTTCTATATTGTAATAATAATGCACATACTCGTGATAGCATAGAACAGCTTCTATTAACAAAAGAACCATAAATTACGGGTGACGGTGCTAAAGCTATAAAAGATGTGTCTATATATATTTCTAATATAGCAATCTGTTCATAAAATAATAATGCTTCAGAAATGATCTTTGAATTATAAAAATGTATGTTTAATCCTGACATTATTAATTCCCTTGTAAAATGTTCAATAATTTTTACATTTTCTGTACATCTTTCACCAAAACTTTGACCCAAAAATGGAAATCGCCTATCTTTAAAAGAATTATTATTAATAACAGAAAGATTTAATAAAAGTGTCCGTAAAGTTTTAATAATTCTACATTTAGTATTTATAGACGAACTGTAAAACATTATCTTCATATGCTTAAATACATAATCTTGTAGTTCTGGAATTGAAACTGAACTCCATTGCATCAAAGATAATAATTTTAAATTATATTCTTCTATGTAACAAGATAAATATTCATTAATAAAATAATTCACAATTGAAATACCATGTTGCATATATCTGAAAAATTCAATGGTCATATCTATTATTTTGTTCATTTCTTCATTAAAATATCTACCATTTTCAAAAATAAATGATTTCCATAATGTATAATATAAATTATGTATAAATCTTTGCTGATATTCAAAATCTGCAAATGTTAAAAGATGATGACCAATCTTATTTGCTAATAACGATGTAGTATTAGTAGGTAATTGAATAGTAGAATAAAATTTTCCCAGTTCTACAGCATCAGTAACATCAAAGACCATCCTTTCGGTTTTATCTTTGAATATATTAGAACCAATGTTAAAATATCTAATAAAAGGAACAAGAGGTTCTTGGTTCTTTTTATATTTAAATGTATTAGTATTCCAGCTATAGTATGTATTTGTTTCTTGATTTTCTTTTAAAATCACTCTGTCTCTTGCACTCTCAAATCCAACTCTTAACGTTTCTACAATTGGACGCCATACACTTTGAATATTTATAGCTGGAATTCTTTCAGGTACAAATTCAGGCTTATAAGACTTAAATAATGATAATAATGCAATTATATGTTTTTGAGGTTTTTTATAATGTTCATTTAATTTTAATAATCTAGTGACTTGTCTTCGAGTTACATCTTCTGGTTTTGTCATTAAATAAACTAATTGAGCTAAACGTGACTCTAATTTTTCGTGTTTAAGCATTATATAAAAGAATGCATCATAAAAGATATAAATTGAATTTCTATTTATCAATTGATATTCCCAACAACCAATAATCCATTGTAATAATGTTGAAAGAGCAGTTGCTGGTATAGATATAGATAAAAACCATGTAATTATTCTTTTGGCCTGATCATCATCTATTACATTTTGTGGAATTGTGCATTTAATCAAAGCAATATAATGAGTAGAGTTCAAATCAACGCTCGTCAAAATATCAAATATCTTGTTTATTGTATCATCGTCTAGTCCTTTTGTAGAAGCAACAGATTCTAATATTTTTATAGACTCACGAAAATGAACATAATGTTTCCCTTGTTTGCTTAGAGATTTTAAAAAATTTTGATATTCTTGCAACGTATCATTTTCTTCCATGGTATAATTTAGTAAAATATTTTTATATTAATAAGCTATTTTTACTGCTTGCTAAAATAAAAAATGAAGTTATAAGATATTAATAAAAAAACTATATTTATAAAATATATTTTAATTTGAATATTTGAATTTACACTTATGTTTCGGATTAGTCAAATCTATTGTAATAATAAATAAAAATAACTTGATTATATATTTATATATTTATTATTATTAGTTAAAATTTGACTTAAACAGTTAGCTCAAACTGCGTTCCAGGCAATCCAATTTAATTTGTTTTAATTAAAAAAATAAAATTCCTTTTAATATAATAAATAAATTATGATAAAATATGATATAACAATTGAAATAAAAATTAATCTTGTTTTTAACGATGAAATTAATGTTATTGCCACTTATTGCGGCGGTACGTTGTAAACAAACTATTTTCGAAATTACGTAAAAATATAATTTTTTTTAATTTTTCATTATAATCTCAATTACTATTATGATTGTGTAAATTGTAACAGAAATTGGAACAAATTATAGACACTTGTAAAATGAATATAACTTTTTACTGTATTATTTTTATATAAGAAATTATAAAAGAATTGTTTGAATGGTATACAGATAATTGACATATTTGGTTATGTTAGTAAGATAACAATAAGCCGGGAAAACACTGATGATCCATCTGTGCAAATGCATATGCATATATATATATATATATGTATATTTATGAGCGCGCGCGTTTGTTCACGTATATACAGCTGCATATAAACACATAAGTATTATTACAACAATTTATTTATTATATAATTATATAATAAATATATTATGATAAATAAATAAAATTATAATAAATGAATGTTATAATTTATTTATTGTATGATAATTTGAACGATTATGAGTGATTAAAATGGATAGTTTTATAAAACTTATAAAAATATATTTAACAAATTATTATAAAGAACAATTGTTTAAAAATATATAGATTTCATATTTATAGCGTAAAAAGTAAAAATTGTTTACGTCGTGTTTATATACTGTAAAATTTAATATTTAATTTTCTATATGGTATTATTGAGTTCAGTAATTTAAAATTACAATAATAGACGGCTTACATTATGTAAATAATGTAGATAGTGTAAGTAATATTTGTTTCTATTATATATTTTCAAATTTAATTGTATTTTCTTCTAAATAGTTTTATTTTTAAATTCCAAATAGAAAAAGTAGATAATATACTTTCTTTCAGGCATCTGCATTTTAGGTTTAAGCTTATTGGTCCCTAATAACGTACCCAATAAAATTTTTTAACTATGTTTATGGTTGTAGGGACCAGGTTACCGACTGTACACGATTAATGAAAAGTGTAACATTACCGGGTTATGGGTTTAAATAGAATTTGCCTTTTAATTTTGTTAAATTTATCGTAATAAACAGTACTACAATTAAAATTTATTACATTATTTAGTTACAAATAAAAATCTTGAATACATAAATAATTTAATGTAAATACATATACAAGTAAATGAATAAAAGTATTAATTTAAAATTTAAAAAGATATTGCAGTTTTTTCTTAAGTAATGCACTTTTATAACACTTTATACTCTACTATTTTACCGGTAATTGAGCTTAAATCTCATAAGCATTATTCGAATAAATCGACCATCTATTGCCATTGTTATTTTGTGTAATTCCCTGTCTTGCATGGAGGGCGAACGTCAGGTGATGTGAACCTATATCAATCTGATAATCATCTAACTGGCGCAACAAGTATTGCCAATAAGGGTCTAAGCCAATTTAGCCTATTTAATATATTTAGGATTTCTGTGCCTATAAGAAAAAAATTATAAAATGTTAGTGGCCATGTCAGGGAAGTAATGTAAGATTAATACATAAGAAACTTATGTCTCCATTTATTTTTCATTTGTATAAAATGTTAATCAAATAATTTTTATGTATGACGATAATAATAATAAATAATAGTAAATACAGATATTTTATATTTATAAAAATTTTGCGACATTAGATAAAAAATACCTATTGAAGTATTTTATTGTTTCAGGTGCAATTTTTAGCAACGTATATTGAATTGCATTAAAAATTGCTTTTTACAAATAATGATTTACAGACAAATTTGTGCATTTTTAATAACAAAGAAAATCTTCTGTTTTTAAATGACAGAATGATCGTATAATGTTACATAACTTAATCTTTAACAACTGTATGCTATTGATATTTAAATCTTTAGTTAGTTCCATTAAGATATCAATAAGTTATATATAAACATATAGATATAAAAATAAAATAATTAATAAATTGTAGAAAGCGATGTTTTAAATTTAATATTAAATTCAATTTCTAGCCCCCATTTCCTTCAAGTGACATTGTGAAACCTAGAAAACCAAAACCCAAATTGAAAACTAATACCTATAGTATCTTTTAGATTGTATTAGATTTTTTCTGATATTATAGTAATTAATTTACAGTTTTACATGCATTATTGACTTCAGTATATTTTGTTTTCTTACAGATATTTAAGGCCATTAGCAATTAAGAGCAGTACTAACAATACTATGAAGTTTAGTGACTTAATGACTTAAGAGTTATACTTTGATCAAGAGAAATAATATATGATTAATATTGAAAGTATTCACACTAGAACTGAAATTTTTTTTGATATTATAGTATTACAATCGTCCATCGATGTAACAGAGCTCTGTAATTTTAATCTTTATTAAGTATTTTATCTTAAAAAATGTTATTACCATTGCTTTTCTCAATTAACTATAATATGACAAGAAAAACAAACGAAACTTAGCAAGCACATAAAGTAATTTTTAAGATACGCTTGAAAAATAATGCAAAGAAGTTTCTAACTTTTTATTTCCTCGCTTTAGCTAATTTGATTAAAATTATAACTGCACATTGAATCAAGAATACTAAAATTAATTTTTATGCAGAATATTATTTCTTATTCTTGCATAGCTTATACTTTAGCTACAGAGAGAAATTTATCCATTCCAAGAATCTTCTTAAAGAATCAATGATTTTATCACCGTCTCTGCCAAGCAAATAGTTCGAATTTGAAATTCTATAGTAGGTAAGTTGGTCTGCAGCTTTTCAAAAAATGGGCAGCTGGATAAATTTGGTAAACTATGATTTAATATAAGTCAAAAGATTAATAATAAATTTAATTATGCATAAATTATTTAAAATATAATATTACTTTAAAACCTGAAGTTTTAAAAAACATTATTAGAATGGTATTCTGTATGTATATAATTATAATAGTGTTTAAATTTTTTAATATTGCAAAAGTTTGAATTTAAAAAATACAGATATTATTTTAGTTTTCCATTTAAATAAAGCAATTATTTTTTATTCGCTTATATTCTATTTACTTTATCTTCTAAATCAATTGAATTAATGTAATATTTAAAAAAAAATAAAATTATTTTAATAAAAATTATTCTGGTTTTATTTCTATTAATTAAAATCATTGCTTATGTTATTCGATCAATATTGATTTTTATTCTATATTCTCAATAAGTTTAAATTGTTTAGATTCACTGTAATTGTTTTTGAAATATGAAATATGTTAAATTTATACTTTTTACTTAACTCTACTTAGCTATGCATAGTAATTCAAGGTACTTTGAAATATTTTTAATTTTCATAATGTTTTTAATCAATGTATTTATCATGTTAATATAAAATATTAATATTATAAATTATAAATATAAAATTATAAATTATGTATTTATACCTTACACATCTTCAATACTATAAATATTACTCTATATAAGTATTACATTATAATTTTTAATTATACATTTTGAATGAATACACGAAATATTTAATTTATAAGAATAGTACATTTTTAATATTTTCAACAACAAATTTTCAATTTAATTAAATTTCAAAATGAAATATTTTTCTTAACCATTTGGTAGTTATAATATTATAATTATTTAGCAATAACGTTTTGATTTTACATTTTATTGATTAAAATCTAATTACTAATTTTCATTTAAATATAAAATATAAAAAGCGGATAAAAATTCTTACTGTTTGAAAAGTCAATTAAAAATATTAAACCATACGCATGCGCGAGCAATATATGTATAGTTATTGATACCTCATTCAATTCTTTGAAGAATATCTAGTTTTTTATGGACGCTAGATCTGCTAATATTTTTATAATTTTGTAACAGTCGTTTTTTTTTAATATTGTTTATTTTATGTATTAATTTATGCATCGAATATTTCAAATATAAAAATGGGCACTATAAAGTAAATTTGCGTTTTTAATTGTGCATATTAACATTTTTTATTAATTTTTTAATATTTTCTACGAAAGTTAAACATTCGTAATACATTTTTCAGGTATGTTTTGTGTTAAATGATTGTTATTTGTTTTATTTAATGTTCATTCTTTAAAAATGATATTTTTAATATGTTCAGGTTAATAACAACTGAATCCATATATAATTGGGTACAGGTACACTTTGTATTTTAGCCTAAATTAAAACTAAAACAAATATTTTTTTAAATCTCTTTTAACTACTGTATCATTAAGTTCTGATTTTATTTTATTTGACTTATTAAGAATAAAATAAAATTTCATAATTATATAGATTTCATAAAATGTATTAAAGTGGATATCAACTACATTATATTGAGCTTCGATATTATTCGAGTTAAAATAACACAAAATATATAAAATAGTGTATTATATTTATTAACAGTATGTTTATATTTAAATTAATTAGTATATTCTAAAAATATTTTATGAAAATATCAACATTATTCTTATAATATTATAAGTAATTAAGGTAATATGTATAATTTATAAAATAACAATAAATTTTTAGTATCTATTATATTTAAATATATATTTAATCTTAAAAAATCTATTATAATATATTAAAAAATAAAAAAGTTTAAATCATAAAAGTAATAAAAAAATGTAACATTTAAAAGTTATATTATTTAAATTGAAACTATATCAAATTTATTCAAGTTTCAATAATATATAGTCGTTTATCTTGATAATACATAGTAATTTTATTTAAAAAGTATTAATAATATATTAATAACAATATTGATATTCTTAACAAATATTAATTATTTTAAAGTTCATTCGTACTAGTATATATTTAATAATTTCTTTTATTATATCATAAAAGTTTTTTAATAATTTTAGATTTTAATGCTTTTAGAATATATTAATTGAAACATTAAAATAATATTTAAATTGGAAAGTTTTTATGAATTCTTAAATATAAGATTGAATAGCACAAAAAATTCAAATATGATCGGATATAATTTCATAAAAAATATAAGTAAAGTTTTTTATATATTTTTAAAACAAATTATATATGAATCGTAGTACTTTAATACATTTTTAAATAAAAAATGGAGGTAATACAAATACAATATGGAATTAAGTTTCAATAGTACTTTTAATTATAATTTTAATAGTTAATTATTAGGTATTATACTTATACAGAATAAAATATTTTTAAGGATTTTTGTGTTTCTAAATATATTATTTCTATTTACTTAGTTTGTGTGTGTGTGTGTGTGTGTGTGTGTGCGTGTGTGTGTATAGCCTAGTGTACATGATTCACTAATGGCTTTGATATATTTAGTATACAAATAGCGATTCATATCGTATTAAAAGTACTATTCTTCTTTTTAAATTTTAGGATTGAAATAACGTATAACTACAAAACTAAATGTAATGTACAATCAGGAATTAGCAATAGATGTCTCAATTGTAAGTAATTAATTAATACTGATATTTTCAACATATATATGAAAGCATGAAAGTAATATATATTTTGTAATTTATAAAACTTAAAAATATTTTCAGATTTTATGTACATTATTAACATCAATATTAAATTATTACTTTGTAAGCGAGAACAATTATTTAAAAATATTTTAATCAAAAATTATCCAACTCAAATAATTAATTTTGATTTAACTTCATAGAAAATAAAGTAAAGATGTAACAAGCATCATTTAATTAAAAAAATTATTATTTTGGACTATTAGACTTTATCAAATAGTTTATATTAGATAATTCAAATACTAATTTTTAATCACATATAGTAATATAATCATTACAGAGATGAAAGAAGTTAATAATAAAATTAATACAAACTCATTCATTGAAAAAGGTAATAAATTGTAATTATCATGGATCTTTAAATTTATTATAGAATTATTATATGGTTCTATTCTTTGTATTAAAATTTCAATGCTTTCTTCAAATGGAAAATTTTCTAGAAAATGAAAATAAACATCAAATAATATCTCCATTATCAGATACAGTTATTCCAGAAATGTGTAACTATATGGGTTAGTATAATGAAAATTAAAAATTGAATATTTTATTTGTTAGTTGACAAATAATTAAAATTTTGTTGATTTAGATACTAAAGAAGCGGAGAAAACAGTTAATAATAATAAATACCTACTAGATAATATATACTCTGGTATTTACCTAAACATTTTTTTCTAATTTCTTATAAATTTAACTTGTTATTTGTTTTATATGTAATATTTAAAAATAAAATTTCAAAGTTACTATTTAAATAATGATTTTGTTGTGTTGTAGAATATTTTTTGAAGAATAGAAATGAAATTTATATTAAAGAGGAAATTCAGATTTTAGATTCAAATGATTATATTGGTTTGTATAATATATAAATAATTAAATTTTTCGTTTTTTTTTTTTTTTTTGTCTATGTTGTAATTAATACAAATTGTTAATATTAGATGATAATTATTCGACTATAACAAAGAAAAATGAAAATAAAAACAAATTAATAGTCAATGGATTAGTTTGTGAACATGAAAAGTGGACTGAAAAGTATCCAGACTATTTGAAATTTAATTGTGAGAATTTTGGAGTAAATGAAGATCTAATTATAAAAAATGCATTATATGATAATTGTAAAACTGAACATATTAATTCTAAAATTATTAACAATTATCAAAATACAATACTTTCTGAATCTGGTAATTTATTTTTATGCATTTTAAATTTGTAATTTTTAATGTAATGTGTACTATAAATATGAAATTAATTTTTCATTTAAGATGATTGGTATTATTTAAATGTTGCAAATACTCTGAAAGTATTTAATGGTAATAATAACTTGTTAACATTAAAAAAAAAAATTAAACTAAATAGTTCTATATTAAAAAAGAAAGTAATTAATGAACAAATGAAAAGAAAACTTAAACTTACAGTAAAAAAACGAAGAAACAAACGCAATAATAAAGAGAAATCTATACTATCAAAAGAAGGAATAAAATTACAAAGTAAAATAGTAAAAAAAAAAATTAAGACTTCGGAAATTGACATTGAAAATTTCAATAATGAAATTTATTTAACAAACGGAGAAAATCTAAACAACATGCCGTATGTTAAAAATACTAATGTGGAATTTACACTAGGTAAGTTTATATAATTAGTTATACAATATTTGAATGTTTGAAAATTTAATCTGTGTTTAGCATCTGTGAGTAATAAAATTCTTTGAAAAAATAACAAAAATTAAATATCCTTCAATGCTTAGTTTACAATAATAATATAATACATATAAGAACAGGAATTATTTAGTTAGTACTGTATATCGATAATTAATAAATTAGATTTTATAAATGAATAGTATAGATTAGTATTGCATTGATTAATATAATGATGTATGTAATAATAGAATTATTTAAAATTATTATTTACTATTAATATTTTATTACTAATATTGTTTGAAAAAAATATTAAATCTTTAATAAGTTATAAACATCTGAGAGGCAAATAAATCGAATTTTCGCGAATTTTTCGGGTAAGTCGTTTTATTTAAAACTTTAAATAAAGTATATTATTTAAATATACTATTATTTTGTAAATCGCTGATTAATATTATTCTCCTATTTATGGTGCGAATAAAAATTATTTAGATTTTTCTCTCTTTAGACTTTTCTCTTTGGAGAAAAGAGGTGAGAGTTTATATACTTCCTGTATTACACTTCGATCGCATATCTCTTCTCTCCTTTCAATATAAAAAATATTTAAATGGTGATTTCCGACACTTGAAGTGCAATTAATAATTTATAGTATCGTGAAGAATGAATGTAAATTCAATTATATAGTAGCTCTTTTTGAATCCAAAAGGGATGAAAAGAAGAAAAGGTGTTTTCTGTAGTACACTGCAGGAAAGTAAGTAATTAAATGGTTATTCAAATCGGATTTTATAAGCAGAGAAAGTCGTTAGGAATATAAGAATGCATAATTAGATTTTCTTGTAGTTCTGACGAAACTTAAATAAACTTAATATTTCTCAGTGAATATCAAATTTTGACAAAAGTGTTACAAAAGAATCGCTTTTATAAATGTTCGAGACCTTAATTTGTTTTTCCATCCGCGATATTATTAATTTTTCAGAAATTATAAGCCTAATCAATTTCATTTTAGTAAAAAGTATATCACAACATTATTATTTTTCTTATTATATATTTCCTATTGCGTATATATTTTAAAAATACACATATTTAAGTGAATTTTCGACTACTAATGTGCTTTATACACTATATGATTTATATAGGATTTGCATTTTAAGGTACATTAACACGAATGTGTTTATTAAATCGATTTTATATTCTATGGATAACTTAAATGTTATTTAGCTAAGTTGTAAAAAAAATTAATATGTAATAATTAGATACTAATCTATTAATAATGATATGGGGCAAAAATTTGTTGGTTATCGATGCGTATAAAATCATAAGATTATAAATGAATTTTGCTAGCGGGCTCCTACCATTGAGAGTAATCATTTTTATTTGAAAATAACGATAAGTATAATAAGTATTATTTGAAATAAGAATGAAGCAATAACATAATATTACAATCATTTATATCGTCTATTTTACATTAAAAGATCAATTTTACTTTTTAAAGTGGCCTTAATAATAACTTCATTTAACGGTTCCTTACTTCTCTTACTTATCTAAATCACGACGACACCATTCCGTCCACATATACACGAAGCACCTTGCACCTTTATTTACAACTACTAATTTATTAATAACGTAATTATTTCAAAATGTACTTATTATTATTTTACTGATAAATTATAAATTATTAACATATTAGAAAAAAAGATCATGATAATTTAAGAAACTAATACAAACAAGGAATAGAAGTTTTGAAAATTTCAAGCAAAAAGTAAAATCTGGATCCTCTTATGAACTCTTGAACAGTGTTTGCATTAAAATAATACGCTTGATTTTTGTTCATATAGCTATTTCATAAAAATACACCTTTGTCATATTATAAATAAAATTATTCTAAAGTACTGTGCAGTCTTATTAAACTATTATTTAATGCATAATTTATTCAATTATTTATACAAAAAGTAATTTCAAATTCAAATAGTGACAAACTATATTAAGATAATAGTTGGATATCGTTATAGTATAATAATAATAATAATAATAATAATAATAATAATAATAATAATAATAATAATAGTTGGATTCCGCTGTTCTTCTTGAACTTTACAAAGAATATATAGGTAATTGGACTTCAAATTTTCAATAGATACAAAATATTTAATAAATATTTGGTTTTTTAATTTTTCACAACAATATAATTTTTAAGTGACAATATTATTTTAATTCGTTATGATAGCTCATTTCACGATAAAAACTAACATAACTATATCGAATAACAAAACATTTGTAATTATAGAACATGAGAAAGATATTCAATGAAATAAAGAAACTATAAAAATATATTTTAAAATAAAATAAAGCAATTATTTAATTTCGAACAAATTAAAAAACGTTAAAGGTGCGATTAAACACAAAATTTAGTTTCTTATATAATTTTTAGATCTAATATAACTTATAATTACGACGCCGGTTACTGCTTATATATAAATAATTGTTTATTTATTCGATTGTAATCACAGTAACATTGATTGCTATAACCATTCACCGCTATTACAAATAATAATAATCAGTTCTAAGACGAATATTATTTTTATTTTATATCGCGGTATTAATATGAATGATTATAATTATATACACGAGCTACGTATTATGTTGACATAAAATCATCTAAACAATAACGTTTTAACGTTTGCAACTCATTTTTTTTTTCTTTTTTTAATGCTATATATAATGTAATGTTTGTTTTGACCTTTTTTTTTCTTTACATTGACCAATAGGAAAGAAATGGTGTGGCCAATGTCTAAGAGAAAAGATGTTTATCTCAGTCATCAAACAGTATTGGTTGGATTTTGAATTAATAATAGCATATCATAGGGCACATACAATTTTTCGAAAAAAAATATAATAAGTAATTTTTAGTACTGCGATGATAGCGAAAGTTAAACTTTACTTTAGTATTTTTATTCAGGAGATTAATTAACTATTTATTCTTAAAAATGAGCTGAAATTTTCCACTTGGCCTAGAAAAATTTATTCAACCATTGATGGTGTTTATATACCACCATTCATAGCTCATTTCTTATTGATTCAATACATTTTTTGCATACCAACAGTGCATCATTATATCAAATATATTAAAGTTCAAAGTTCTTTTTTGTACTCGAAATTGATTTATATTTAATAAATAAAAAATTTAAATAAAAATTAAATTACCAAATATTATGCTTTTATATCTTAAATAAATAAACAGTAACAAATATAATGCTACATGCATTCAATAGTTAATCAAAAGATTTTTAATATTTAGAATATATAATCAAATATTTTTGTATAATATACAAGTGGAGATAATAAATTTTGTTTCCCGAATTATTATTAAATAACGTTTAATATAGTGTTATACGCTCAACATAAATAAAATCGATTCTATTTACTCATATTTACTTACATCTAAATGTTCCTTAATTTCATTAATGTAATTTGAAATATTGATTATTATTTTTATTAATATTCATATTAATATAATTATTCATATTTGAAAACAGAAATTAAATATAATGTTACCTTAATTTTATTTATATATTAGCTAGAAAAATAAATAAAATAGAAAAATAAAAAATTCTACATTGTCAAAATTTTAATATCATATTTAGAATATAATTTCAAATAGCTCAATATGGATTTTTAATTTAGTTTAATTTAAAAATAAATATAATTTAAGAAAATAGTTTACACTTACATTAATCAATACTTATTTGTAATAAAAATATAAAAATATGTTTTGTATTTTATAAATGTTTTTCTGATTTTTTTTATAATTATGAAAAGTATTTTAAAACATTGATTTAAAATCAAAAGCTATAAGATTAATAAAATATTTCAAATACTTTATTTATAATATTTTTTAGAAATTATTATTTTTTAAAGTACAATATTAAATCAGTAAGGAGAAAAAATTAATTTCCTTTAGTTAATCGTTATTTAGCGTTAAAGTTTTTCTTTCAATTATTTTTAATACAAATCCATTATTTTCGTTTACTTTGTATTAAACTTTTTACTTTCTTCTTTTTTTTTTATTTTTTATTTTTTTACTTCGATAATTTATATTCTTTCTTCTTTTACTAATATGTCTTCGCTATATTTATTTTTCAATATACAATTTATTGACACGTACAAACACTTACTTTCACTTCATTTTTACAATTATGCTTATTTTATATATTTATATTAAATTACTTTCTATATATTTTACTTTTCTTTTAAGTACTTAATTTCTAAATGTAAATTATATTAAACTCTTATTTATAATTGAAATTTTTTACTTTTTTATTCTTATTTCATGATATTATCTTATTCTCTTATTTGTTTTAATTGCTCTTCATTCATTTATTTCTGCAATCATTGTGATTGTTTTATACATTCATAGTAAGTATTTAATTTTGCTCTTTTGTTTTTCTTTATATTTTATAAGTATCAAGTTTCTCTCATTTCTATCTTTTATTTATATCTAATCATATAAATATCCAGTTATAACTGCTTTTTAAGACGTTCTTTATATATTTTTTTACGTCTTCATTTTTGTATTGGATAACTAAGATACTTTATTTCTTTAATATATTTGGTCTTACAATTTTAATTATCAATTGTTATTATTATCCTCTTTCGCAAAAGTTAGTACTTTTTTTCTATATTAAAAATTGTTTTGTGTCTGTACTTTCTTGGTAAATCTATTCAATATTTTAAAGTAATTTAATTTAAAGAATTATTTGAACACGAATATTATCATTTGTTTTTGTTCTTTTTTATTTTTTATTCGTAGATGTAAAGGAGTCGACGAGGGATCTTTCTTCTAAAGTTGAACAAGTATGTATCGTAAAAGAAGAAGCAATACTTCCTGATTATTACGGTAAGTACATTAATATGAAACTGTAATTGTAATATTATTTTTAATTATATTTTTTAATTATAGTTGTAGATACAATTGAGAATTTGAAACATAACATAATCAGCAATGAAATAGCTTTACTTAAAGCGGATTATAGAGGAGGTGAATTTTTAATTTAATTTATATTTAAAATTTGTTAAGTTTTAGCTTTTTCATTAAACTAGTATTTTAACAATATAATTAAAAGTTGTATGGGTTTTTAATTGTACAATAATTATTATATACACGTGTATGTGTGTGTACATATAAATATTGTATTGATTTTTTATCGAAAATATATATTTAATTGATTTTGGGCATGTAAAATATTAATATATTAATTAATAGCGCAATTAATTACTTTTATAATCAATATAAAATTTGTAAAGTGATCAATCAAATATAAAAATCCATATGTACATTATACATATATAAATCATGTTCAATATTTTTCAAAGTAAAAATTCATATTACAGATGATATACAAAAAAATTTAGATGGAAAGAATAAATTAATATTTAGCAAAAGAGAAAATCTTATCAATTATTATAGTGAGTACAAAATTAAAATACTAAATATTATTATATTGTAGAATATTTCTTGTAAATTTAATTGTATTATAATTAATATGGAAATGTTGTTATTGGATATGACAGTTACACTATTACTGCTTATATATTTTTATCATTCATATTTGGAAATTTTACACAATTATTTAAATTTTTAAAGTGAAAATATTTTAAAAAAATTTTATTTAAAATATTTAGAAACTAATTTAAATTTAAATAATTGTGTAAAATAAAAGCCAATGTAGTCATATATACAGTGTACATAAACTTTTCCTTACAGAAGAAAAGCGCTTTAGAAAACCGAAAATAATTAAAAAATGTTCAATGTGTGGTAAAGAATATAAGCGGATTGGACCTTTTAAACGACATCAAAAAAAATGTGATATGATAAGAACAGTTATATATTTCGAGTGTGTAATGTGTCCTTTTAAAACAAAAAATAAAAACGCATTTAGAAACCATTTAGGGAAACATATATTAGGTGAAGCGTATAAAAATAAGAATCATAATCAGATTCAAGAAAATAACAAATTCAACTTTACAAAGAATAATGCACCTTCAAAACAATTTTGTAAGTATGATGGATATTTAAAAAATTTTTAAATATTCCCTTTAATGTATTGGTTAATTAAGGCAATTATAAAGGATATATAAATATAATACATATAAATTGATTTGTATCATATAACTGCTTTATTCATGATAATATACAACTAATGTTTAATAAGCTTGTAAAGAACTCGTTTTAAAATGGGAAGTACCTTTGTAATATTTAATAATTAATCTTTATGGAAGCGTATGTTAAAAATATTAAGATAAATTTAATTTACTTTACACTATCCAAAAATGAATTATATCTATTATATCAATAGGTCCACCCAGCTATCTTAAAGCCCATTGTATGGCGTGTAATGTTGAGATGACAGCGGTAGAACGTACGTCTAATTGTAAAAAATGTCTCGGAAAGTTTATGTACTGGTGTATAATGTGCCACAAAGATTATTTTACCTACTCACGTCTTCGTAGACATGTAATAGAAAGTCTCAAGGTCTCGACTCTGTTACAATGCTCCAAGTGTGGCAAAAGGAGTTATACGTCCGTTTGTAGACTGAGAAGACATGAAATGTTTTGTCATGTGAAACCTATTAAACAAAATCAAAAACTTCCTTATGTTCAATTATTCCGCATCAATGCACAGATACTTCAACGCGTCAAAGGTAAACAAATTACATTTTACGTATTTCTCATATATTTTCTTTTATATAGTTCAATTTCAATTATAATGCCTGTAAAAATAATTTTTCACTTTATACGTGATAAAATTTGCAACCAATGCCATATAACATATTTATGCTCATATTACTATTGGCGCTAAATGTATTTATTTGAATTATACTCATTTGAATAAATATGGAATACTGCGTAAGTTTAAAAAAAAAAAAAAAAAAAAACTACAAGATTTACTTATTTAATCAATTTTATTGTGTAGGTCCATGGAAAACGATTCAAACACATTGTCCGAAGTGTAATACGATGCGAATCGTACTTGAAAAAATGGGAACCTGTGAAAAATGTAATTCCTTATTATTGTACAATTGTGAACTTTGTAATGAAATGTCACTTACATACTCGGATCTCCGTACACACATTTTTAAAGCTCATATAATCGATTCTTACAAATCTGCTGAATGCAATGAAAAATGTTATAACAGTAATAATAAAAGTAATAGAAAAAGTACATCTACGATTATAAATAAAGAAGATTTACATAAAAGTAAGATATTGACATAACACAGAATTTAATTTAATATTGAGAATAGCAAATATTAAATGACCTTCCTAAATCAATATTAATTAAAACAAAAACTATGTATATTTATAAATCATTTTATATTTTTAATTATAATAATAAGTTACGAATTATGTTATTCGGAATAGTACTTCAAATTAATTTTAATAAAATAGCAAGATATAAAAGATTTTTTTATTTATTTAACGAGATTTAAACAATTTTATCTTAAATAAGATTTTTAGATAAGATTAGAACACTATAACTCATAAAAATTCTATTTCATTTATCATGAAATCAATGTTATGACAATGTTATTTTATATCAAGTAAATATTATATAATAATGTACAATATTGAAATCATTTATACAACAAACATAAATGAATTCTAGGTACTAGTGTTTAATTATCATTAGGCAGTAACGACATGAGAATTTACAACCATAAAAGTAATGCCGTAAGTTAATTTTATTAATTTTAATATGATTAAAATTTATTAATTATTACACTTGTAACTTAAATAATATCTTTTCATTAAATATTATTTATATTGGTTACTAACAATTGCTTTTAATAAAATTGTAAGGTTGAAAGCTTTTTTGTGAATATGTAGCTAATTATTTGCAATACTTATCAATTTAAAAATTTAAATTTAAATTCATAAATATTGTATTTTTATAAATTATTGAAACTGATGCTTAAAATACTTTGTATTGGGGATAGTTGCTGTCACGTAAATTCCTAAATTTTTATACATTTTTATACTAAAAATTGATGCTATTGATTTATTATACATTATATGATTTAATAGATTGGGAATAAAACAAATCACACCGCCTATATCGTAACATGTTAACAATAGCAATCATTAAAGTAAATATTATACTATAATTTATACACGATAATAACAAACGTGAAAATTAGAGTGAATTAATTTTTTAAATAATAACTACTATTTATGAATCATGTAATTAGCCAATTACTCTTATATTCTTCATATATAAAATATTCATATTATAAAAATTCAAAATTCCTAATCAAATAAGTAAAATTATATATATTAAGCTAATAGTAATTTCAAAAATTAAATATATTTAAGTTTTCTTGACGATTCTTGTAATGTACATATATTGAATTATAATTTAAATTAAAAGTTTTTTTATGATGAATCAAGAAGGAAAAAAAAAATTAAATAAATTTCGTTTTACAATATAATGCCTATAAAGCTACCTTGAAGTACAATTTATAATTGCTAAGAATCATATCAAATGAAAAAATTATTGTAGTTTTATAATATAATTATTATAAAGCTACTGTAAGTTATAATGTATACTTGGTAAAGTGTTATCTGCGGAAAGCGGGCGGGATAAATTGTGCAGGTAATGGCTCGTTTAAACTATAGCTTGTCAATACGAATAGTCAATATTTGCAGGAAGAAAGTGAGAAAATTTTCCGATGCTGCTTACGAAAAAGGAGCCGTTCAACTGTAATTACTCAATACGCCAAATTGGAGTAACGCACTGTTGATGACATACGTATTCCTAAATAATTGTACATACATAGATCCTTATGGCGTGCGTAAATGAAACAATATGTTGTAGCTGCTTTTCTATTATATTCATTATGTTTTCTTATTCCGAAACTAATTTTATTATCAATTATTTTTTATAATTGTATTCATAATTTTACTGACATTTCTAACAGATAATCTTAAGCTAATTAAAAAGATTCAGCAAAATAATTATGCAAATCATTTTAAAATAATTAATAATTAATAATCGGTATAAACGTGTGTAGTGAAGTTTTGTATGAATTGATATATATTTGAAATATTACAGTAATTGTTAAATATATATATATATATATATATATATATATATATATATATATATATATTTTTTTTTTGTTTGTTTTTGTTTTAACACAATAGTTTTAATACTATTAATTAAAATACTATGAATGAAACTGTGATATGCACACCATCAGTGTATAATCATTTTATTTGAATTATATTTTTATAGTAATAAATTGAAAAAACAAACATATTTCATAAATTTTAAAATTTAAGAATTATTTTATAGAGTTAATAGATGTATAATGTTTGTTTATATTGATTTCATATGATAAAAATACTATAAAAATGTATAGATTCATAAATATACGACGGGTTATGTTCTTGATACTTTTGGTATCTTGTTGTTAGTTATCGTTTTGTTATTTATGCGTTGAATTGTACTATGAAATTAAAACTTAAATTTTTAAATTTATTCTTATCTTTTACTACTTAAATGATAATATATAATTGTAAATCGGTTTTCAAAACATTATTAGATAAATAATACATCCAATTACATGTAATATGTTCATTAATAATTATGAAGTTGTGTGTTGTTGATACAACAATGTGTAATAGTTTTTAACAAATAATTCATATCTATTGTAAATAAAGAGAATTTAAAAAAGAGATTGATTAATTAACTGAAATTTTTTATTTTTATTCAACTACCATATTTCTCATGTACATCCAAACATTACTTACTCCTTTGTGTCATGGAACTTATATACGTGTACGTACTTGACTGTTTTATGTTGTTTTTTTTTTTTTTTTTTTAATTAATTTATCAATTAAGTAAACTGATTCTATAGTTTTACAAATTAATTACTAAATACTCGTATGTCAGAGAAAAATTAAGTTTATTTCAATAAAGTTTGTTAAAATAATTTTTTTCGTTTCGTCAAAGAATGATTTAAAAAAATATATATTAATATATAAATAGTGTTTAGATAATATATACCATCTGCATATGTTTAAATAAATTTTCTTGGTTTTATTGAATTCCTTATGAATTATTCTACTGAGAGTAGATTAATGAAAGTTTTCAAGCATCGAATATACCGTAGTTGTGTTTAATTGCCTTTTTATATTCGGATAAGAATTGAGTTTGTTTAAAAAAAGTGCTCGACTTTATACTTTAATTGGTAGATTCAACTGACGCGACCAATATGTCATAAGTAATATTAAAATAATTATACTACATATTTTTTAATAATTTAATTTTTGAGTTTAAACATCAATGTTTTTTTTTTTAATTTTTAATTTATATATAATCCATTTATAGATAGCCGTGCCATAATCTATTTATTTTAATTAAAATATTTCAAGTATATTCAAATATATTTGAAATTTTTTTTCACAGAATCATGTCATCGATATATTTCATGAAGTTAGGCATTGAATTATAAACGAGCAATCTTCTCAAATAAATTAAATCTAATTTCTTTAATATTAATTAAATTTAATTATTTAAGATGTAATGTAAATTTATTACTAAAAAGTTATCTCATAATGCGCTTATAATTTAAAATTTTAGGTGTTTTAAGTAGGAAAATTAATAATATAACTCATGAAACAAAATTTTCTAATTCACTTATTAATTTACTATATCAAAATTGTCAGATAATAGAAGAAATATAAAATATTGATACTAGGGTGCAAAATTATAACAAATTTAAACATTATTCTATTATTAAAATAACTAATATAATTATTTTAATATCAATATATTTCCAAATATTATCGTTTTTTATTAGATTAAGAAAATTGTTTTGAAAAAAAAGATAAAATTAAAGAAATATAAACATTTCTAATAATAAAATATAAAAATTTCTTATAAAATACTAATCTCATAACGATAGCAAATATATCTATTATATTCATTATTCAAAGAGTGAAGATTCTTTTGTACGTTTTAAAAATTCGTTATTATAAAAACTTTATTTGTTTATTTATGCAGTTTGTGCTTTCAATTTTTTTTTCTGGCTATTTCTCTAGAACTAAATCTCTAAAATAATATAAATTTAAGGCTTAATTTATATAGAATGTTCAATCAAAATTGAAATTTAGAAACTTTTTAATAGTTTATCAATTAACGTCGCGTGTTATATTATTATGAAAACTGGGCACTGTAAGTGTAATGGCAACGAAGATTAAACGTAAAAATAGTAGAAAATTAAAGGAATACTAGAACAGCAGTGGATTTAAAGCCTAAAGCTTATTAATTGAGTCAAAGTGGTGAAAGTGTTGATAATTTTAACGCTGATTAAACGTGCGTGGAATTTTTTTATAAAATAATATTAACTTTCATAGCCTACTACATGTGCTAAATAAAAAATAACAGACTTTAAGTCACTTAGGGCACTCAACTTCTGGATCTTTTGTAAATTCTTTTGTCACAAGATAAGCTCTAATAAACTTTATAAATGCTTTCTATTTCGATTTTAATTGTTTTTTTTTTTTTTTTAATAATATTTCGTAATGAATACCAGCTTTGTTTAAAATTAATTTTGTGTAATCTATGCTCAACTGTTTCTTATAAGATGAACTTGTACATTTTTATTATTCTGACAAAAACATATTCAATGTCTTTCGTTCACTTTTGATATTTTATATCATTCCGCTATGAAAGGTATTAGTGTTGGGACTGATATTCAAGTAAAGCTGACAAAAATTATGTATTCTAGAAACAATTGTGTAAATATGGATCTTTACTGTTAAGACAGTCTTAAATTTATTACAAAATATTTTAAATTACACATTTTTTAAGATTTTTCCTATTTAGATTATTAGAAGCGCTTTTTAGGTAAAGTACTGGAGTTTACTTGACTGGCTCCGATCCATGGTTTTTAATTTACAATGAATTAAATAGAAAAATAAGTTGTAAATAATGAATACTAAGATTAGATTTTATGAGTATTTTTTATTTAAAAAGTTCTAAACCTCCTATCGATCGAATTTTATTATGATACATTTAATATAAAGATAGTTGTTGCCGAAGCAATCGATATTATTTAGATACAACGTACATTTTAGATCAAGGAGTCAAATCACCAAACGCTAGTAAAAAATATATTTATTACCGAGAAACTTCACAAATACATTATTTTTGCGAGATTTATTTTGAAATTTTTTTTTTATCTTAATTATCGTATTTATTTATTCATTCAATTGAAAATCAAATTACTGTTACTGTTTCTGATAATTTAATTGAGCAATTATTTTATTAATCTTTTCGTGTAGAAAAATTAAGAATTCCAGCTTACTTAAACAATTTTCATGAATTTCTCTTACTTAAGAATTTATGTTTAATTGTATTTTTTACAGTCCTGTTGATTTTATTATTGTTTTGTTAAGTTTTAATTTGGATAGAAGATTAAAATTATATCAGGATTCTCAATTAGGAAAGTAGTTTATTAATCTTACGTCGACTTGTAATAATCGTATTGTAAGCCTTTCAAAATATTCGTTATCAACATTTGATATCTTATTTTGAATTCTCACTTACATGCATTCATCTGCATTTCTTGTATTTTGAGTGGTATCCTTTTGATGTAACATGATTGTTACAAAATTCGCTTTAGAAGTTGACTTTAATCAATTCACTTTACTCGATGGCGGCCATTATAATGGCTGTGTAATTAATTGTTCTTCAATATTCTTTCATTTGCCATCTACTTATTTTTAAATCAGTATATTAATGTTAGAAGCATGTTATCCTTGCCAATTTCTTTGGATATCTTGATCGAGCTTGCAAGATCACTCATGGCAATACTCTTTATGCTGTATAAGGTACGCGTTGCGAATTCCTCATAGAAAAAAATCTCGCTATTTTTACTAATAGCTTTTCTAGTAAATATTCTGTAATCTCAATATTCAAATATTTTAAATGATTTTTATTATATATAATAGTGTTTACTAGCTATTTATAGGAATTAATTTTTGTAACATCTGCTACAGCAAACTAAAAACTGTATAAATAAAACTTTAAGGCTGTTATTTATTTATTTTTGTTGTTGTTGTTGTTGTTGTTGTTGTTATTTTTATTTTTTGAGTAGTATTATTATTATTTTTGCAGTCAATTTTTATCAATTTTTGTAATAACAAATGGACGGCTTCGTTGATTAATCTACTGAATTTCAAATGTAATATGCATACATCACCTGCAGTGGAAATGAATTATATCAAAGCAAATATTTAAATATTGTCGTACATGACGTTACCCTCTTTCTATATTTTATGCACTTTTCTAAATTTAGAATTTGATCACTATTATTAATAGAATGGTATTTTTAAAAGTATTTTATTAAATTTATATGATTGAATGTAGTCTCTAAATCACTATTATTTATTTAAAAAAAAACACACACACACACAAATAGCTAAAAATGTGTGTGTATATGCATGTGTTTGCGTGTGCGTTTGTTTGAGTGCGCGCGCGCGCGTGTGTGCATGCGTGTGTGATTTTATTAATAATAACTATAGAATCTTGTAGATATATATGCTTGTTTTTAAAATATTACGGGTTATTCCATTGGAAGCTTAAAAACAAAGGTACATTTTTTCTTACAAAATCAAAATTGTTCATGGAGATTGAAATTTGGTAACTGGTAGCCCAATGATTTAACTTACGGATGACTTTTAATTTAGAGTAACTATTGTTGCTTACCTGATTAATCTCACATATTTTTCCCAAAATATGAAATGTTAATATAAACATAGTAGTACACTATTTAATATTCTTCTTTTATTTATAAGCGCTTGAAATTGTTGTAAATGACTTAATGTTATTTAGAATATCTGCATATTTGCTTTATCTTATTTATATATATTCTCCCTATTCTCGCTATACGTTAGTGAGAAGACAAATAGTGAAAATCATTTTTAAATAATAAAATTTGTCTTACAATATAATCATTTTGGAATATCTCTATCAAATAATATGCTTTGCAAGAGTTTTCACATTGTCAATTTATATGTTCAATATATACTGTTAGATTTTTGTTGCATCAATTCTATTTCAATTTGATTTCTACAGTATTCAATTTGCATTCCGTACGTTTGCGAGCAGTAAGACTTACTGCGCATGCGACAATATTTGTATGACAAAACATTGTTGCCTCTATGGTTTTAATTCCATTCCAATATTATTGTAATACATTCTCGTGCTTCTCTTCAGGTTATAATGTATTATAGGTATTGATCGTATGTTGTTATCTATAATACATGAGAAATCAAAAGATTTGTTATTCAAGTAATTTCTTATTTTATAAAAAGTATTATTTCATATTTTATTTAACAATACAAATATATAAACATGGGTGTACCAGCATTTTTCCGCTGGTTAAGTCGAAAGTATCCATCAGTTATCATTGAATGTATAGAGCAGAAGGTTTGCCTATAAATATTTATTTTTAAGTTTTTTAGTATATATATATATATATATATATATATATATATATAATTAAAATTAAATTGTTAATTATTTATTTTTAATCGCAGCCTATTACTATTGGTAAAGATTCGATTCCTGTTAATAGTACAGAACCAAATCCAAATGGTGTCGAATTTGACAATTTGTATTTAGATATGAATGGTATTATACATCCTTGTACACATCCTGAAGATAAGTAAGTTTTAAAAATGCTCATTATTTTATATGAAATTAGTCAATTTTATCAGCTTATTATTTACTAATAATGAATTATTTATAGACCCGCACCAAAAACTGAAGATGATATGATGGAAGCTATTTTTGAATGTATCGATAGATTATTTCGTATCGTAAGGCCAAGAAAGTTATTATATATGGCTATCGATGGTGTTGTAAGTATATATTTAAAGTGTACAATTTTTATTTTTTCAAAAGTTTATAAAGTTAATAATAAAAGTTTACGATTGATTGAAGTTTTTTTATTAAAATTAGTTATTATTGCAATTGCTTAATATTTGTTATAGTTATGTTAAATTTTAATAAAATATTTTCAGGCACCTAGAGCTAAAATGAATCAGCAGAGATCTAGGCGCTTTAGAGCATCTAAGGAAACGCGTGAAAAATTAATCGAAGTAGATAGAATTCGTTCAGAATTAATTCTAAAAGGAATTAATATACCACCGACTAAATTAACGGAAGAACATTTTGATAGTAATTGCATTACGCCTGTAAGTATAATATTAAAAAAAGTATCGTATGAATAATATTGACTTGATGTTCGAATAATCTGGTTTTAGGGTACACCTTTTATGGCACGCTTATCATTGTGTCTTCATTACTATATACATCTTAGATTAAACAATGATCCTGGATGGAAAAATATTAAGGTTATACTTAGCGATGCTAATGTTCCAGGAGAAGGAGAACATAAGATTATGGATTATATTAGACGACAAAGAGGTATGTACACACAATTAAATGCAGTATATAATTCATGTAATTATTATAATTTATAGTTAATCTCCATAAGTTTTATAAAACTTTTTTGAATTTATGTAATTTATTTGTTATTATCAGGCACGCGGTAAATATTTTTTTCTAATTTTATTTGTAGCGCAACCAGATCATGATCCAAATACTCAACATGTTTTGTGTGGAGCCGATGCTGACTTAATTATGTTAGGATTAGCTACTCATGAACCCAATTTTACTATTATTCGTGAAGAATTTAAACCAAATAAGCCAAAACCTTGTGATATTTGTGGTCAAATGAATCATGATATGAAGGACTGTCAGGGTCTTGCGTCTACTTTGGAAGACAACAAAATTTTTGGATCAGAATGTCAATTTATATTTGTTCGCCTGAATGTTCTTCGAGAATATTTAGAACGAGAATTAGAAATGCCTAATTTACCTTTTAAATATGATTTCGAAAGAGCTCTCGATGATTGGGTATTCATGTGTTTTTTTGTAGGAAATGATTTTCTACCCCATTTACCATCATTAGAAATCAGAGAAAATGCTATTGATAGACTTGTGAATTTGTACAAAAAAACTATTTACAAGACCAAAGTGAGTTTAGATTAATTTTTTATTTTGTTATTTTTATTTAATGTTTCCTTATTTGTGAAAAATATAATTTTATTTTCAGGGCTTTTTAACAAATAGTGGTGATGTATGTTTAGATAGAGTACAATTAATTTTATCTGATCTTGGTAAGGTAGAAGACGAAATTTTTAAGAAACGGCAACAGAATGAATTAGCTTTCAAAGCACGTGAAAGAAATAAGAATAGGAGAAATGAGATTATTAGTAATTATAAGCCAAATTGGACACCAGTTGGTCAGTTTGCACCAAATGTAAGTATATTTATACTCGTAGTTCAAATAATATTTACTAATTACTTTTTGCACAAATTTAAAATTGTACAATAGCATTTAGGAAAACAAATTAAACCTATTGTAAATGCTCGATATGAAGCATATCAAATGCGTATGCATGGTAGAAATTATAATACAAGCGCTGAAGAACATACATCTCAAGGCACTAATTCGACTTTGGCTGTAGATAAAAAAGTTTCCAAGGTAATTAAACAGACAATATTTTTTTTAGTACCATTAAATTATATTTAATGGATTTAATTGTGTTAAAAGATTCCAAATTTTTTTAATGAATTAATCCTAGCTGTGGTAATTGTAATTCAATTAGCAAAATATATTTTGCGCTTGATTAATTGTATCTTTATAATCATATAATTTCGTAGTAATTAAATCCTTATAATTTTTGTTTTTTCTTTTTTTATTTTTTACTAAAATTTAAACTAAAATTAAATTAAAATTAAATTAAAAAAAAAAAAAAAAATAAAAACAAAATGGAAAATTAAAATTAAAAATAAACCTATTGATAGACTGTCTAATGACAATCGAATGATTGGTAGACTGAATAATGACGTTTATATGCTAATTTAGTATTAAAATATATATAAAATATTCGTTACATATAAATAGTTTATTGAATAAAATTATTCATAATTTAAAGAAAGTCTTTATATTGATTTTATTTACATAAAAAAATCTTTTTTTCACAAGAAATACTAATGCATAATATTTAGTTTTGTAAGCTTTCGGCTACATAATAAATAAATCATAAAAATACACTAAATATTTACCATTTGAACTTAGGACGGAAGTTCAGAAAATCAAGAAAGTAGTGCGAATAATATTATGAAAAACGAGGAGGAATCGGATGAAGTAAGACTTTGGGAAGATGGTTTTAAAGATCGGTATTATGAATCTAAATTTAATGTACTGCCAGATAATTTAGCGTTTAGGTGAGTATACGGTTATAAAGTTTTATTTTCATTTAATAATCTAATAATTCTGTACATTTTCTTGAATTTTAGAAATAACGTAGCTCTTCAATATGTACGAGGATTATGTTGGGTTTTGCGATATTATTATCAAGGTTGTGCTTCGTGGAAATGGTACTTTCCATATCATTACGCTCCATTTGCAAGTGATTTCATTAATATCAGTGGTCTTTCAACTGAATTTGAAAAAGGAACTGCTCCTGTAAGAATCATTCTATTTTTTATATTTATGTTTAATTAAAGTATGGTATTTTTTAAATTATAGTTAACAATATTTAGTAATTAATAGTCTAAGACGCTGTAAGCTTCTAATTGTCTTAATTAATGAATATTGAATGAAAAGTACATTAGAAGACTTCAAAAATGAAACTCTATAACATTATTAGATATTATATAATTTTATAATCGATGTAACATATTATGATCTTATTCATTATCTTCTGACATCATTTTATCCATTCATGTTTAATTAACACTTTAATCAGTTCTGTGAGCAATGCTTTCATTGTGGAATTTCGAAATAGATCCTTAGACTTATAATTCGACTTTGAATCAACTACGTTTTAACATGTAAATTTAATATTTGTATTGAAAATACAATTTACAATTTACAAGACACCTAGAAAACCAATTTGAGCCATTAGGATCCAACCAAAAGTCAACATTCATTTCATCAATTTGTAGATATACAGGACCGAAAATACATTATTTATCCTAAAACGAATATAATTAAAATAAAATAATAGAATTCTCAATAAAAATAAACTTGACTAATGTATTATTTTCATATTGAAAATAAAAAATAAATTAATTTGTCTTCGATAAAAAATAACTTAGATTTTTCAATTTTCAAAATTTATTTAATATTTATAACAAAACAGATCTAATTATTTGTATAAAAGATTTAATTATAATGGATTACATATGCTCGAGCTTATTTATGTTTATATTTATATTTATTAATTATGTTTCTAAAAATATTATACGTTAAATTTGTTTTAACATGTTAATAAAATATTTTTAGTTTCGTCCACTTGAACAGTTGATGAGTGTATTTCCAGCTGCAAGTTGTAACCATGTACCATCTTCATGGCAAAAATTAATGAAAGATCCTGTAAGTCAAATCATGCGATTTTATATATGAATATTTATTGATATCCGCAAAATTATTAATTTATTATAAAATCATTAACAACTTTTAGAAATCAACAATCATAGATTTTTATCCGATAGATTTTAAAATCGATCTGAATGGAAAAAAATTTGCTTGGCAAGGAATAGCTCTTCTTCCATTTGTCGAAGAAGAAAGACTTTTCAAAGCATTAGAACCATATTATAATTTACTATCGGAAGAAGAAAGTAATTAGATATACTTATTTTTATACTTATTCGATATTATAAATGTTCAATTTTATAAATAAACATTTTCAGAGTTGCGAAATATTCGAGGTAATGATGAACTTTATATTGGACCAGACAATAAGGAATATGATTTTCTTAAAAATTTATATCGTGACAAAATTGATTATGATGCCGAAATTGAAATTAGCATAGATGGCATGCGAGGTACTATTTTATTGTCTGAAAATTGTATTAGCGAAGGTGCAACACTTCCTTCACCTATCAATACAATACCTGTTAGAAATAATAAAATTATTTGGTATATATATTTTTATTTTAATATCAGTAAATGAATAAAAATTGTTGATAATTAATATTACATTTAATTTTGCATACTATTTTATTTTAATCAAATTTGATTCAAATTACAAAAATTACGTTTAAATATAAATTATTTTAAATTATATTAATTATATTTTATTTATAGCGTCAAATTTAAAGATCCGAAATTTGGAAGCGATTACATATTTTCTGCAAAACGATTAGAAGGGGCTGAAGAACCACCTAGAGTTTTAAAACCTCAAGACTTTGATCAAATGAATCATGGTAATAATCAATGGAGACCACAAACTGGTTTTGTTCCTTCTAATAAAGTGGCCTTCTTAGATGATCCAGGTCATCGAATGTTAAGGTATATTTTCTCTAAATAATTTAGAAAAAATATCAATAATTTTTTCAATTGTAGTAATAAGATAAAAATAACTTCTATCATACACTTAAAAAGATTATTGATATTTTTTCTAAATTTACAAATTTCATGATTATATTTTAAATACAGTACATTCAATGAACAAATAATTGTATTGATATTATTGATATATATATATATATATATATATATATATATATATATATATATATGTGATTCATAAAAACATAATATAAATATAAGTTAAATAGTGTAATAATCAAACTCAATAATTATTAGAATTAAAAAAAAAAACACACCAATAACAATAATTATAATATTATTTTTATACCTATGTAACTGTAAACTAAGTAAAAAGTATATCGTCAAAATTTTTATTTATTCAAACAAAGTAATTTAACCACAATCAGAATATATAATGAATAATATATTCTGTAATTGATAAATTTAGAAAGAAATTTGATTTAAATGTATTAAATAATTAATAATTTTAGACATCACGTGTACAACCCAAGAAACAGATCACCAGGTGTTTATGGACGTGTACCCCCACCTTCATCTGTACAGCAAATGTCTCAAAGTATGTATATTTTTATTTATTGTTTTAAAATGAGTACAAGAGTATTTATAATAAGTTACTTGTATGGAATTATTCTTTATGTTATTTTGCTTTAATATAACAAATATTTATTAAGACAATATAAAATAAGAAAAATATATAAATTATTATGATACTAATGTATAACAACATATTCGTTGCTCAATGTGTTTCAATGTTTGATTAATAAAAATGAAAAAAAAAGAATGCATTGACTGCGCGTAGGCTTTAATTTATTGACGCACACAATTTGAAAATTATTATCGCACGTTTTTTATGTTTTATGTCACTTTTAGAAATGTAGATGTAATATATATTAAATTAATTATACTTTTTTGACAGTCCCTCAAGGTGAATATCCGTCAAATTACCAAAAGAATTTGAGAAATCATTCTGGTTATCAATCCAATCAATTACGATTCAATTCTTATCCACAACCTGGTCCATGGGCAGATGGTTATATGCAGCATCATGTAATGCAACAAAGTTCTCATCAATCCTCGTATAACAACTATATGATGCAACAACGACAACAACATTTAATAGAATCGTATCAAAATCAATATCCCTCGCCAAACAGGAATTTCAATCTACAAGTGAGGAACTTTTGTTTGATTTTACAATTCATTTATTCTTTTAAATATTTCTAATTAATATTTTAAAACTACAATTCTATAAATAAACTATATTTCATAGTTTTGTAATAGTGCTATTATTTTAGATAAAACAATTTTTTATTATAGAAGAAACCACTTGTTTAAATTATGATCAATAGGTATATAAAAACTAACAATTTAAGACATGATTATTCTTAGATTCATTCTTATCGAATAATTAAAGTAATTAAAAATAATGCTACAGAATTACAATTACATAACTGTAAAAGGGATTACTTAATGATTATGTCTGGAATCAGACTAAAAAACCTCTGGATGATGTTCCATGGGGGGGATTACTGGCAAGTGGAAGAGGATGGCGCATTAATGAAATGTCAACACACAGCGTATCCTGGATTTTATCATTATTTACGGACTGCAATGGATATGATTCTAAGGTGGTGCTGGAATCTGTGAAATCCTTTCAGTATTTTTCACGTGGTGATGGTATTCACTACCTGCAACAGTAAGAGGTGTAAATTTCTGATACTTCCTTGAGTAGTGCCACATATTGGTGACGATCCAAAATCTGCCCTTGTAGCCGTAGTGTATGTTTCAACTGTGATCGTCGCGGAGCCTCCCTGTAACGTCACTGTCCTTGTAGCCGTGGTCTATGTTTCAACTGTGGACGGTCGCAGGACCTCCGTGAACTGATTTCCGCCTCTTGTAGCCTTTGAATTACACTTAGCACTCGTGTCTGCTTGAATATAGCGCACTTAAATGATTATAACTTCTTATGGCTTCACTGTTGGCTTATTAGATTATTATTACCGTGTGATCTGGAGGAATCGCTCTTTTTTATTACGAAGATTACTGAATAAACTTTCTTCGGACTCAGCTGTTACGATGTTACTTCTTTCTTTGCGATTTTACCGTGATTGTTGTTCACGTTAAAGGTATCCGCTGGTCCGTCCACAAGTATCTCCTTACGCTCATGTTCAGTGTGGTCCTATTATACATCATAAATTTAAGTAGTAATAGGGCGGCTGCCTTTTTTTTTTAGCATATGCGCTTAATGAAGCGGTACGTGTCAGAAGATGAATTTATACTCTTAGCGCCTTCATTTCAATCCAGGAAATTTTAATTGTGTGATCGTCAATGCCAAGATTCTGCAGTTGTATATGCAATGTTCTGACTGCTAGAAATGTGACAGTTCTTATGCCATAGGTAATTGTGGTCTGATGATATGGCACTTCCTTGTGTTGCTCGTTGATGATAAGATTACCAATCACCTGTAAAGACTGAATTACAAAGTCCACAAGGGGGCTCAGGACATAACCAGATGCGCGACTGTGTTAAGACTGTTTGGACACTATAGTAAATTATCTTATTATTCATCATAATGATTATTGCATTCTTATTCTCATATAATCCGTCAACATTAACTAAATTAATAATTAACCTTAATCTTCTAAGATTTCTGGCAGACGATCATCATTACAGATTGATTCTGATTTCTTGGTGATTCACAGGGATCTGTATCTCTAATTTTTCTATAAAGAACACATATCTATTCCGATATCTATGCTTAGTTAATCAATATAGGAACCCATCTCGTTGATGTGTTGTTCAATTGTTGCATTGCTGCTATGAATAATTTTTCCTTCTTCACCTTGTTTTCTGCAGATGTAACACTTATCTCATAGAGCAGGATCTTGCAACAACTTATTAACTTCTTCTAAATCCCTCTGTATGCTTCAAGTTAATAATACTATGATCATTGATATAACTGAGAATTCTTCCTATGGAAATATCCGTTCGTGAATAGGAATGAAGTTCCTAAATCTATTTTTCCTTGTATTTTATCTTGGCAATCACATTGAGTGTTTAATGGGTGGGATAAATGTTTCTCTAGATTGAAAGGAAGTTCTGCAACTGGGACTGAGATTCTGAAATAATTTTATGTAATGAATTAAAATATGGAGTTAATGTCTATAATGATTTGATAGTAGCTTCGTTTCGTCCCAATAGGATAGTTTGATTAGCAGCGCTTGTGGTCAAGATACTTCCAATCCTTGTAACTAAATCCCTATTTGATATTTGTCCACTACACTTCAATCCGATAATCAAACTTCTTACAGACCGTTTAATATTAGATGGTGATTCGCATTGAATATATCTATGTAGAGGTTACTAATCTCTCGTACGAGCATCCATCTTGTAGGTGAATAACAGGTCTATAATGTCTATGTGATGTTGCAAATATTCACTTGATATAGTTAATCCTAATAAAGGTTAAAGAGGATTGGAGGCTGATAGATGTGTGTCATAATTTCCTTAACGATATGGACATTTAAAATTCATTTGGATCATTCCTATGCTTAATTGATTTTGGGAATAGACTAACAACTTGTAATTTGGAATGCAATATTGATGCTGCTAAAATAGGTCCTTAAATTCTTCCCAGTCCTGATTTAGGTTGTGAATCAGGACTACTTTTTGTATAAAGTCATTACCAATATTGAATCCCTTGAACAGATGAGATACTGCTTATAAAAAATGATTGCTTGATTCCTTCTTTTCTGGAATATCTAAGCTGTCAGGAATATCAAGGATCACCCTAACAGGCTCCACAGGATTAAAGAGCTTATGTGTAGGTAATAAATGAGCATCCATCTCCTTCTATTTTCATTAGGGGTAGTCATTAGTGTCTTGAATGTCTCATCTTCTGGAATTTGACTCTTTAGCCATGAATAAACTTATTCCTCATGTCCCTAAATTAAATTTTCTATCACTGAAATCTTTTGCCCATTGAGATTGCCAAATTCCTGAATGCTTGAAGTTATGAAATAAGATAGCAGCCGAACATGCAACTATTCGAGCTATACTAGCCACTTTTAAGTCCGAATAATAGCTATCGTCGATCAGACAACACCATGGAGATGTGTGTTAGATATTCCCCTTTTTACAGCTTTCTACAAAGAAAACAAATGTACATCTCCACGTTTTTTTGTAATTATCATAAAACAATATGGCACCAAATCTAATGCTGTCCATTACATGAATGGTTGTAGCTCTTAATTTGTAATTTCCCTCTATAAGATATTGGCCATAACTCTTGCATCCTCTACTGACAACCTGAAGCATATCAAGACTATACAAGACGGTAATTTCATAAATTTGATGTCTTCTCTAGAATAAGAGATTTGATCTGTGAATGATATGAGTAATTTTTGTAAATAGTTGGTAAAGTGCTGCTTGGATTGAAGACTTGATGTATAAAAATTGGCTTACTCTCTCTTTCAACAGCTTATCAGAGCACCTCGTGGATGGGTCTAGACCGCTTACCTTTGATATAAATTCAAATTCAGGAAGTTTCTCTAAGAAATGATGATATAACTTATCAATATGACTCATCTTTCTTCTTAGAAGTAATAGTTAATCTTATATTATTTTATGCACTTGTGTAGTGTCTCATTTGATAATGTTTCCTCGATGGTGCTGAGAGTGATGCGTTTTAGTTTGGGGTTGATGACTCTTAACTTCCTTTTTTCTTGGGTTGATATCATGTGGTAATAGAGAGAGAGAGAGAGAGAGAGAGAGAGAGAGAGAGCAACAGTGGGGTACTTACAGTATTGAAGATATTTTTTGTGTTGTGACTCAAATGTCTTAATTCTGTATGATTGCAATGTTTGAGTGTGGCTGAGCTTCTTTCCTGCTGTAGTAGTATTGAAGGAATGCACTGACTTCCACTTATCCAACTCGAAGGACGAAAATGTCTGGAATCAGACTAAAAAACCTCTGGATGATGTTCCATGGGGGGGATTACTGGCAAGTGGAAGAGGATGGCGCATTAATGAAATGTCAACACACAGCGTATCCTGGATTTTATCATTATTTACGGACTGCAATGGATATGATTCTAAGGTGGTGCTGGAATCTGTGAAATCCTTTCAGTATTTTTCACGTGGTGATGGTATTCACTACCTGCAACAGTAAGAGGTGTAAATTTCTGATACTTCCTTGAGTAGTGCCACATATTGGTGACGATCCAAAATCTGCCCTTGTAGCCGTAGTGTATGTTTCAACTGTGATCGTCGCGGAGCCTCCCTGTAACGTCACTGTCCTTGTAGCCGTGGTCTATGTTTCAACTGTGGACGGTCGCAGGACCTCCGTGAACTGATTTCCGCCTCTTGTAGCCTTTGAATTACACTTAGCACTCGTGTCTGCTTGAATATAGCGCACTTAAATGATTATAACTTCTTATGGCTTCACTGTTGGCTTATTAGATTATTATTTCAGAATTTGGCAGAATTATGTACGTATGTTATCACTACTTTCCTGGTATGTGGCGGAATTAATAAATGATAACTGATTGATTGATAATGCGATAACAGATGCGAACCATTGGTAAAAGTATAGTAAGCAGTAACTGATGACTGAATAAATGTTAAAAATACAGTGAGCGCCGGTGCGTAGCGAACTGCCCTTAAGTATTAGCGTGACAGCTTTCAACCCTATTAGCAGTGCATGGGCTTGTTGATAGGCCGAAAGTCTTTATGACGTCAGAGCGAGGCTACAGAATATTCGAGAAATCTGGAAGGACACTGCATTGGAAGGTTCGAGAATTGTCAATCATCTTTGCTATGTGGAAATATTGTAAAGCGCTAAACAATAAGGCGTAGACTAAAAGAGAATTCGTGGAAAATACAAGGCTCTACAAATTTTGTATAATTCAAAACGACGTTACTGCTTGAAAACAATAACATTGTAGGCCATTTGTAGCCAAAACATAACAAGTACACGAAAATTCTCGTCCAAAGTATTTACAGAAATCTGAGAGCTAGAGAGACAGACTGGCGATGCCGACAGTTGACGATATTAGAAATTGCTTCGATCTCGAACAGATTATTATAAAATATTAATTTTGTCAAATAAATTATGATACATTTTTATGAAACAATATTATTGTGAAATTTTTCATTTGGCAATATATAGATATTTTGATAAAATAAGATTAAAGATAAAAATATAGCGATGTAAACTGTGAGTTTGATTTTTAAAGAAAAAAAAAGTTATTTTATTATTATATATTATTATATATTTCTTCACAAAATTATATTGAAGTATAATTAAAATTATAGTTAAAAATTAAATTCTTTTTAAAAATAAAAAGAAAGTTTTTAATTTTATTTGGTTAGATCAAAATAAATTATGTATTCTATTTTTTTCTTCTTCTTCTTCTTCACTATTTTTATTTAATTATAAAATACTACATGTTACTGACTGATTAGTTAAACATTAGTAAATATGTTTTAAAAAATTATTTATATGAAAGTCATATTTATTGATCTTCTATATAGAAACAATCAAAAATGAATAATGTCTTAGTGATAAATTAACAGATTATTTTATAAAAGTTTAATAATATATTATTAATTTTAATGATGAGATGCTTATTAAAATATATTATATTATATTTATATTTATGCATGTAGTTTGTAAGATATTACCCTAAATGTATAAATGTATAGAAAAAAACGTGTATATCATTTTATTTTTGTTTTATTTTTATTTCAGTCACAACAAAATTATGGATATAACAATTATCAAGGTGATAATAATTGGAGACACCAATAAATTAAAACTTCTATTGCTGAAGTTTGAGGATCAATGCGTGTGTGTATAAGGGCTCGTTATTCTTACGAAGATTAAAATGAAAGTTTCGATATAGGTCAAAAAAAGAAAAAATTGGTATAGTAATTGTAATACATTGATTAGTGTAATTATAATTTTATATTTATTATAACTAACAAATTGACGAATTATAAAAAAAAGGAATACAGCACTTATTTTATTTATATATAATTATATTTTTAAATAATGCACAATTCTAATGATTTTTAGAATCTTATAGTAATGCAATGAATGTATTGAATAGACGTAGGGTTAACTAACAATCCATGGTATGAATGTAAAAAAATAAAAAATTATCCTAAAATACAGTTAATTTTTTATTTTAATTACTTATTTATGTTCTTATATTTATAGGATTATAAATAAGTACCATGGAGATATAAATTAAATCTAAAAATTAAATGATAATTATTCATTTATATATTATATATTTTTAAATTTTATCTGGGAATTACACCGCATAAAGTTATTGGTTACAATTGATTTTGTATGTACTTTATAATTTCATAATAACTGCATAATAAATTTAGAATAAATCATAAAAAACAGTCTTATATCCAAGCTGTAATAATTTAGTAATATGTATAATAATATAAGTAATATTTATCTATGACAAATAAAGTATAGATATGAAATCAAATATATTATTTTGAAATCTTGTTTTATTGAAATCTTTATTTTATATTGTTATAATATAATAAAAATAATGGCATCTTTGTATAACATTTTATTGATTTTTTTGTTCAAGAGTATATAAAAATATTTATATGACATATAAAAGTACTTTGTGATTTAAAATTTTTTATACTCAGCTTGTTATCTAAAGTAGTAATTAATAGTTTATAAATTGTAGATAATAATGAATGTTGTATTATGCAAAGGAAATTTTAAATTTCAGTAAAATTCTTAATCAATGAATGTACTCCTCAATATAATACTATAATTCAATATCTAAATATATAATTTTAATAATTAAAATTAACAATTACAATTTTGAACTGATTTACAGTATGTACTGTATGTATTATATAGTATATGTGGAATATTAAGTATTTACTGTCATGTAAATCATATTTTAATGTTTGTTCTATTCAATTGAAATTTAAAGATAAAGAATTTATAGACCAAACGGCAGAAAGAATCCAAACCACATTCGGCTTAATACATTATTATCCCGTGAATTAATTGCGAGTCAATGTGATATTTAAAGATGTATCGATACATAATGTATTAATTTACAATTGAAAAAAAATTTTTATAACGATTGAACAAAACTAATATAATACTAATTTTGCAATGGCTAGTATTTATAATTAAATCGTAATATTATGATATTTATTATTACAAAATTCATTTTAAATATTTGTTTATACTCTCTTATAGTTTTCCAGATGTATTATAAATATTTTATATTTTAACTATATTGCTATAAACAATATTTATGCAAAATTTATAAGATTTACAAATTAAATATAAAGAAAAATGTAAATAGCAATAAAACTGAATATCATGACTAAAGATAAAATAATTTTCTATGAATATTTCTGTGAAATCAATTTGAAAATTTGTTAATGTCTAATGAAATATTCATACCGTAATTTTCGAAGTCACAGTTCGTGTAAACTTTTACAAAAAGCATAAGGAATTTAAAAAATGACACAAAATGATGAAAAATTTGGTTGGGAAAAAGTTTGGATTCTAGGTCTGTTTCGGTTTCTCCTGTCCTCATTCTCCTGGTTACATTTCACATCTTGCAGATCTCTACTTGTATTTCCACTAGATCACTTACATCTATTTTTTAGTGGAAAACTAAAATTAATTTAGGAAGTTTTAAGTCTGTAGTATTATAATTCTAAATTTTAATTTTATTCTCAATCATTAATTTTATACATTAGTAAATATTACATTTATGAATTTTCTAATATTTCAATTACTATAATACATATTAGGATATATAATTGGTATGATTATTTTCGATTAATATATATATATTTAATCAGTTTTTCTGTGCTATACCATAAATTTGATTCTTTACATATAGTTTTCGATTTAATTCTTAGAAAATTTAAAATGAAATTTAAAAAATTATAAAATTATTCGTAGATAACATGTATACATATATATATATATATATATATATATATATATAAATACTCGTACATAATCGTATAAATGAGTATATGATAGGGTGATCTACAATGAATAACCAATATTTATAGAATTAATAATGGCGTGATCAAAGCGTTCGAGGAGGATTCGTTCTCCATTTGCCAAAAGCACGAGTCAATTTGTAGGAAACCGCGACACATGTATTTTACGGGGGTGAAAGAAGAAAACGGCACGCGTCGCCTTTTGACATTTTTATTGATGGGTGGTCGTGAAAGTCACATTCGATGAGCAGCCACATGATGTATGTTATTCGTAAAAAGGAAGGCAAAAAGTATCAAAGGGATGCAAGAGTAAACGTGAATGTGAGGGGTCGCGAGGAGGGGAGAGAACGAGATGAAGATATGAGAGCTGATAGGAACGAGTTGCAAATAAAAATGCACGCGCGACCTCGAATGTCTCGCATATGCCATTCTATTCCAACAACCGTACTTTTATCGAACTTCGTAGATGCTGTCTAATCATCCGTCAATTGCATTTTGGTATTGAATATACGGATTACAGAGGGCACGAAACGAAAAAAGATAATCCAATTGAGAAAGACACATAGTTAAATATATTTTTGTTCGCGTTATTTTTCATTGCTCACGTTAATTTTTCCTTGTTCGTGCTACGCGTGGTAGCACTTACTGACTCCTTGATTTCCTTCTTGTCGTGAGTAGACATGTTGTTATGATAGAGCAGTAAAGTTTTACTTACAGTAGTGAAGAATCTCTCTCATACTCCATGATCTGCTTACTGTCTTATTATCCTTATGACTGATAGTATTGGATGTATGCACTGATTTTCACTTATCCGGCTCGAAGGACCAAAAAGAAAAAAAAAGAAAAAAGTTCAATAAAACATTTTCAATGATTGTTCATTTTGCTTCAATTTGTATTCTTAACCATATCATATTTTATATAATGATCAATATTACAATAAAACAAATTAATTATTATATTTTTGCGTTACACTTTTAAGTAAATAAAGTTTCTCGTAATTTGTTTCCATAACATAAATCAATCATTTTTAGACTGTTTCTTTTTTTTTCTTTTTATAATATGCTATTAGAAATTATGGTAATTGAATTTATATTTCTATATTAAATGTTATTTATTACAAATAATTACGAATATTTGGTAAGTTTTGTGTAATTTTAATTATTTGTCGAGGCGGTCTTACTATTTTTCATTTCTTCGTTCCTTAACTATTATACTAATTACTACAATAGAATATTTCTAACGCCCCAACTGTTTGTTTACGTTAAACAGCTACTACCGTTGTTATTACCGATACTAATGAAAGAACAATAATTATTAAAAATATAGGACAATTACAAGTGAGAAAGTAAATGAAAACGAATGAGACAAGAAAAAATGTTGAGAGGCAAGTATAAAGGGCTCTTATATATGAAGTCTAAATTCTTGATACGTGACCTCTTGTATATGCGTGAACGCCTCCTGCAAAGCCACTTTATCTTCGTGTTGATTTATTGTTTTGGCGTTGTTGGAACAGAGCAATCAAGGCAACCATATATTTTCATATGATTCTGTTTTACAGAAACATTAACATTGCTTATTACATTTTTGATATAATTTTATCAATAAATTAAATAACTTTTACGAGTTAACGCTCTTAAAGCGACTATATTTTTAATTCCTAATGAAATACATTTTTTGTGTTCGTGAGTGCATGCGCGTGTATGTACATTGGATTATAAATTATAAATAAGGGTAAACAATATTTGTTTTCGCTCGATAATGTAAGAAAGCCAATTCATATTTGTTGTTAGAATTAAGTGGGAATTTAACTTATTAAAGCTTGAAGAAAATCATTTCAATCAACTTTTTATTCAAATGTGAATTAACTTAATTGTACTAAATAAAGAGAATCAAAGAACATATTCTATATTGAAATTTTGAATTTATTATAATATTTTTATATATTATCTTTAAAAATAGCGTAATTAGTTAAAAAGATTTAAATAATTAGCTATATTTTTTCAATAACTTTCCAATTTATAGATACAATTTATATAATAATATATAATGCTTTTTTTAGTTTTTACTGCTAATACTACTACTAATAATAATAATAAAAAGACTTATGGACTGAAAAATATTTATATTAACATATAGATACATATTTTTTTTTAATTAAATTTTGTATTAAATATTTGCCATTCATAATATTTAATCTAATCCAAAGAATTCATCAATATGTTTTTAGACAATTACGTAATACTATGATATTATGATTACTGTTCAATAAAGTCAGAGTATCTGTGTATATATATATATATATTGAATATAGTAGTTACGTAACAAGATAGATAGTATAAAAGATAAGAATGAATTTAGTTAATGTTTCAACAGACTCTTCTTTTCTATTGAAATTTTGATTGACTAACTTTATGAAATATGATAAAAGTAATATGTAAATGATAATTAAAATCCGCAAAAAACCAGAAATACATTGATAGACATCGTATATAATTCAAAAGAATAAAAGAAATATGAAGAGGGATGTCAGATTGAAAAGTCATGAAGCTTGACAGGAAGTTCGAGAACGACGTTCTCGATCTCCCTGGATTAGCTGCGAGAGTAGTTTGTCACGTAGCACGTGACTCTAGTCGTTTCGTTGTTTGGCACGTTGCTGAGCGACTCCACTACTGTCGTTCCTTCATTTTGTCCAATTATAAAACAAATGCAGTGCACTCCGTAATTATCCAATTAGCGGATGTTCCTCCCTTACACTCTGTCCTCCTCACTCGAATTCAACATCCTCTTGGTGCTCCCGTTCATTGGTTTTTTATTACTTTCTCTCTCGCTCTCTCTCTCTCTACCTCTCTCTCTATCTCTCTACCTCTCG